TAAAGAAGTTTTTTACCAAAAAGTTTTTATAAGCATTGTAATAAAGTTAAAAATATGTATAAACGTAAATAAGTAAAAAAAAATTGTATAAATCAGAATAATATATGAACAATTACCTTAATTTAAAACCATACTGAATATTCAACAATGATTAAATTTAATTTTATCTTTATTCGTTTCAACGTACGCCATTTTTATTCAGCGACCGTCGTCTAAGGGGTTAAGACGAACGTATTGACGCATTCAGCCAATAAGACAATGATGTAACCCATTGTGTTTATTAAAAAAGTTTTGATACTAACCTTATATAATATTATTTTGAATATTAATAAGCTTCTCATTGTTAATTATAGCACAATATTACTTATTCAATATGTCGTATTTAATAAATAAATTATCTATGTACTATTATTAAACTAACTCTTGCCCGGGACTTTGCTTGGAATTCTTTATAGGCTCATAATGAAATGTAGTGACATCACATGACTTAATACAAATTGCAACTGTTACTTCATCATGCGATAACTACAAGAAAAGTCGTGATAAATTATAGCCTATATCTCATACTGATGTCTATTGTATGTAACTATAGAGTTTCAATAAAATCTATTAAGTAGTTTTTGCGTAAAAGAGTAACAAACATACATATATACAAAATTTCGCGTTTATAATATTATTCTGATAATAGCTGACTTTAAGAATGCACTAGCGAAGATCATCATAATTATAAAGATACTTTCTATTCTCCTCTCTTCTCTGAATTTCTCTTCTTATCTCTCTGGTGCGTCTTTTAATGTTTGCTACATTTTTTTAAGGAGATAATCATCAAATGACCCCTCTTGTCCTGGGTGGGGCAAGAGGGAGTGTCAGACTCTTACTGACTAAAAACCTACCTACTCCTGCTCCGAGCCTGGCCGCGGTACATCATTTCGCTTACACCCTCAACCCGGATGTTTACTACTTCGATGCCACTTAGAATTCGATAAATTAGTTCTCCTTCAGAATTTATGCATGCGTTTTATTTTCGGCTGGTAAATATGACCACATTTCTGAATGCCACAGTACGTTAGAGTGGCTCCCTATCCGCTTCCGCCGGAATATTCATATTTCAACGCTGATTTACAATATGTTCATTGTTTAAACATTCCTCTCCTCTGTACCTACTTGAGCGTTTTAAATTTTCCTCTTCCAGAATCCTTCCTAATCGTTTTTGTGTTCTACATATCCTCTTGATATCCTTTAATACATTTGTTTTCATAAATCCTTCTATGACCAATATGCGCAACTTTTGATGTCACTCCCACCTTTTACATTTCCTTTAAAATACTGTAATTATTTGTACTTTTGGTTCATACATATAAAATAATAATATAAAATATCTTCGCCAATAAATTTTTCTTTGTCATCTTCCTCAATTTACTGGACCCTTATTTATCATGAGGTACTTTACCTTCAGTGGATTCCCCGACAATTTCATTGCTTTTTTTAACCACAGTATAACAATTCTTTTTAATAACATCAATGTCAAACCGATCACGAATAATGTTCAATCATATAAGCTATTACACTATTTGTTTAACGTTCAAAAACAGCAAAAAAATTATTGCTATGTAACTAACAAAAAATTGCTACTAAGATTTATAAATAAGAAAAATCACAGATTATGTAACGATTGAAAAAGATGATGATCGTTTAAAAAAATTTGGAACCAACAAAAAAGATAAAGTAAATTAAAAAAAATAGATTAAAAAAAAATACGCATTACTTGCCATCTAATGATTAATCGATTAATCAAACTCCAGTAATGACTTACATCGTTTTGGAAAAAACTAATACCTTTACACTTCTGGTCTGATAACCAAACCAAGCTAAGAAATCAACACTATTAAATTAATTGGCTTTAACATAAAATCCGTTTCGAAATCGGTCGATCCATCTACAAGATGCTATGATATAAAGTACAAGCAGATACTCACACAAACAGACACACACATAGACAAACACACACACATTCACAATCAACGAAGACGTCAAACTTATAACACCCTCCTTTTTGTGTTGGGGGTTCAAATATGAAATACAATTCGTGCTATATAGACAAAATAATATCTTCTTTTTCTTCCTGGCAATTTCCCAGCTTTAGCCAGTGCCTGCCTCTTTCACAGAACATGTTGTAAATTCTTTTTGGCTAATCGTTTTTTACGACCGGCCGCCTGCCTGACGTCAACCCTCTTTGGGAATTATAGACCAAATAATGTGAAGTATTCTAAATATTAAGTTAAAAGGTATAATAAATAAACCAAATTAAAAATCAAGACAGAAGCTACCGATTCAAAACAAACATTGAAAAAAATAATATATTACACTAACAAGAAATTCATTATAATTCACATAGGTACATTGAAAAGCTGTACGTATGTAACAAAAACAAAATTGACGCTTTGTTAACGGGATGAAGTCACTACATGAGAGAAATGGCTCATATTTTAACGGAAGAAATAACCGTTGGCTCACTTGTTCTAAAAGGTAAAATTAGCTCAAACAGGAATCTACGAAAAAAAAATTTATTCTATCTATAATTATTTTTATTTTATTTTTTTATTATTTGTCAGTTTATAAATAGATACGTTCAAAAACAAGACGTTCCAGTAATCGATAATAGTTTAGAGTTTAACTGATGTTTTTATATTAATAAAAATACGTTTAATCATCATCAGCCTATCAGAGCCCACTACTGAGCAATGGCCTCTTTCTCACATGGAGAAGGTTTGAGCATTAATCACCACGCTTGCTCAAGACGGGTTGGTGATTTCAAACTTATAATTGTGAAGTCAGTGGTGGCCTAGTGGTTAAGGGGCCCGCCTCTCGTTGCGGAGATCGCGGGTTCAAACCTTGGCAAGTACCAATGTGATTTTTCGGAGTCATATGTACTTTCTGAGAGTATTTAGACACCACTGACATACGGTGAAGGAAAACATCGTGAGGAAACCTGGACTTATAGTTTCACAATTATAAGTTTGAAATCACCAACCCGTCTTGAGCAAGCGTGGTGATTAATGCTCAAACCTTCTCCATTTGAGAACGAGGCCTTGCTCAGCAGTGGGCTTTGATAGGCTGATGATGATGATGATGAATTGTGAAATTATAAGTCCAGGTTTCCTCACGATGTTTTCCTTCACCGCATGTCAGTGGTGTCTAAATACTCTCAGAAAGTACATATGACTCCGAAAAATCACATTGGTACTTGCCAGGTTTGAACCCGCGCCCTCATTATTTTATCCATAATTATTTATTTTTAATTTGATGTGAGTTTAAGTCGATACGTTCAAAAACAAGATGATATTATAGTCATCGATAATAATTTAGAGTTTAACTGATGTTTTTATATTAATAAAACTACATTTAATATAAAATAATTTTACTTCATGTAAAGAAAAAATAAGGATATCTAATATTTACGAGTGTATTCATTTAAATGAAATTAAAATTCTTGGATATTATACCGAAACTTCGGCCATAAAAAACGTCCAAAAACCTTTCAATTTAAACACATTCCTCTTTGTAATCAACAGATAAATTTCTAAGTATATCAATCAAAATCTTCACAATCTATATCATTATCTATACGATCTTATGTTATCATTGCCATAGCAACTGCTTCAGATGTGTGTTCTGAGATATATATATATATATACAATACAATACAATAACTACAATGCTTATAAAGTGACGTCACAAAGACATAAACAAATCAATTCTCAGTAAATGCAACAATAATACTAGATTTTTGTTATTTAATGTCGCAAAAGAGGAAAGTATATAATATTACTCATTTCTTCCGTCTTGAGAACTAGTTTTTACTCGCGACTTCCGCTTTGAGAACTAGTTTTTACCCGAGACTTTAGCCTCAACTAGATATTACCCTTGACTTAAATAAAGTACTATGTAGCACTACTATACTTGTCAAAACTAAAACAACAACATCCAAATAGGTTAACTATTAAGTAAATACCCTTGATTTAACAGAATTATGTCTCAATTTAATAATATTAGAACATCATTAAATGTTATTATGTCTAATTGATATAACATTCATAATAATCGTGTCATTAATTGACATAGGATTTGATCTAGACTGTATTCATTCTATTTATCGTGACCCTAACATGATACGTGAATGTCACGTGCTATAAAAACATGTCAAGCGTGAATACGTTTTATTTACTATGGGTTCCGTATGTTTATTACGAGTTTGATACGAACTTACGAAAGTTTTCACGTTTCTTATTCAAAAACATTAATTCTATTAACGAAAAAGTATTTGGTCTGACAATAAAATGATAATGTTTTTGTACAAGAATCGGTTACTATAGAAGAGAAAAAGAAATTAACATTCAAATTTTGGTTTATTTTATTAATCATTATAAATGAAATTATGATTACTTATCTAACACTAGAAGACCCGGCGAACTTCGTATCGCCCTATAATCAAGAAATATCTGTTACGTTTTTTTATTTATATTTTTGGAGTTTACTCCTAAGCCATAAATCTCCGTGTTCTGAAGTGCGACAGAATGATTGACATATTAGTTAATTGTCAAATCTAATGTAAAAAAAAAACGTTTGTATGAAAAATAGAAAAAGGCTGTTTTTAGGGTTTTCCCAAAAATGAATCAATTTTTTTCCGCTTTTAAACCTTTCCTGAATCTCCACGAACATTTCAAGACTAATATAAGATTATGTAAAAGCTTAATAAAACCTTATCCTTAAATCGGACACTATTGAAGTATATCTCAGTAAACATAATAATTTTCAAAACTATACGCGCCCCTTTTGAAAAAAATGTTTACTAAATATTTGAAACTACATAATAGTAAAAATATAATTTCTTTTCAAAACGCTTTTCAATTTGTGGGTAACGAAACATATAAGTATTTAATTTAATTGGTTTTTTTTTCAGTTCCAATAATTAAAAAAAATGTCTGTTTGACGAACGCAATATGCTCCGTGCGTTAAAATGGCTCCACCGTTTGCAAGATGGCGGCATCGCCAACCAGTTCTTCATGGCGTTTATGGGTGAGATATATATTATTAACTAATATATAAAAAATAAATAACTCATGTCAGCCTGCCACTAATTTAAATATTATGAAAACTAAGACTTTTGCGAATATTCATTTAAATGAAACTAATATTATTCGAATTACTACGCGTATTTTATTATTTTAAACTACATACTACCGACGTTTTGTTTACTTTTCATCAATAGTAGTTTTTAAAATAATAAAATACGCGTAGTAATTCAAATAATATTACTTTCATTTAATATAAATATTAAAAAAACGACGGCTAAAATTGATTCCATCGATACATCTGTTTATATTTAAAACAACTGAAATTGTTTTAACTAAAATCACAAATAAGTTGAACAGTCTAGAATTTTATAAGCATCAGTGTCCAATACCATTCACATTTCCAAAATTCCATATAATCAAATTCCACCAGCGACAAATACCACCTATTCCTGGTATGAAAATTCCATTAATCGAGCTGGAAGTCGCTAGTGACAACAATCTGCTAAGTAGAAGTTCACCTTGTTTACTAAAACACACAACCTTTCATACAGTAATATAAGATTATCAGGATTTACAAATAATGAACAAAATTTTCTAATTTAGACCTTTTCACCAGGGTGTAAAGTATAAACCCAATTTTTTTACTCTTTAATTATAGGATTGAAAAGTTTCTTTCCTTTTTCTCTTGTCCCTCCCTTTCCTACTTTTTTCTCCCCCTCTTCCCTAATCAAGGGTGACGACACATAAATAAGTATTTAGTTACAAAATTTTTCATACCTCTTAGATTTTCGACGAAATTCTAAAACGTATGAAAATCCGGTCTTAGAGTATATAAACTCCTATTGAACAAAGACTTCTCGTAAATGCAATCATTAATCAATCATATAATATACAATAACTACATTTATATCTATCTACATTTATAATAAATCATTTTATAATAAATATAACCTTCATATATTTTCCTACATCTACGCACACAATACATACAACACAGACAAATAATTTTAATAAAATTATAATTCCATTCACGGTTCTAAGTAATTAGAATGTTTTATATATATTTAATCTATAGTAAAATGTATAGGTTTTTTCCATTAGACCTAACATTAGGAGATATAAATTATAAACTAAGAAGAGTCCAATTAAGTTTCAAATTTTAAAGCCTATAAGTCTTGCCAGAACTAATTGGATAATTTGATTTACCCTTTACAAATTTACATTTACCTCTGTTTAAAGGTAATATTTATATACTGATTTTTCTCATAGTATTCCTTGATTTTGATTTTAAAATAATTCACTGTAAAAGATAGTAACTTCTTTCAATCCGATATCTTTTCTTTAACAAGATAAATCGAAAATAATAGTGACCACAGAACATTATTTAACGTCTTAAATACCAACAATGAGAAACTCGAAAATAAAGAAAAAAATTACGCCATATTGTACGCCATTAATGTACCCTTAGAACGAATTGTTATTTTTAAACTTAATATCTATAGTTTCAAAATTTTCTATTCATTAAACCGTAATACAATCGTATTAATGTACACTTTTCATTCTAAGACATTAAAACTATTGTGTATAATTTGCCGATGCAAAGGACTAAGGACACAGGAATGTCACTGAACTACCTTTTCATTCTTACAATTAATTATTATATACAAGCAAATTTATTCTTTAAACCCTTTAAATAAGACAGTATTTCGTTATGCGATCTATTATTGATTCAGGCTATTTTAAGCACTAAACCTTAATAATGAACATGATATTTTTAAAAAGGTAAAACTAACTTTCTAGAAATAGATTTCTCCATAGTAAAAGTTACATTGAGTTTCCGAACGTTATTCAACGCGTTATTTAATGTAAAAGTAAGGTAAACTATCTAACTAATCTATATATATATGTATATGTTGGTACGTTTGTTACCCTTTAGCTCAAAAACTCCTAAACTGATTGAGGGAACTATAAAGTAATGTACCTTAAGCATCAGTATAAGGTATAGGCTATAATTTAGTTAGAAATTATAAGTTAGTTATGGACCAAGGCATAACAATTAAAATGTATGACGTCAAATCACACAGGCTATATTTAGTCACTTCCGTTTGGGTGCCATATCTACTTTAATAACACACTATATTTTCTAAATCCAAAGTAAATGCGAACAAAGTCGCATACAAAAACTAGTAATATTCAAATTAGTACGACTTGTATACTGTTTTCGAGTTTTTGTGGTAAGTGACTATAAAAACATATACTTTGAATGTCTTCATAACTTCATTTTTACATCAGAAATACTGTAAAAATGCCTAGCAGTTAGTCTAGACCATTTTAAAGAATAATATATGAAAATAAATTCATTAATACTTAATCCCAATTCAATTTAACTTCACGTGACCATACAATGGATTTATTTTAATAAAATATAGAACTATTTCTTTTTTATCACACCTTTAACGTTGAGAAATATTTATTGTATGTATAATATATTTATTTATGTTAATATAGGAATAATTACTTCATTAATAAAAATCAGACGTTTAAGTGACTCATACAAATAATTTTATATCGATTTAGTTTCTAGAAATTAATTTACCCTTACCATTTGTTTCAAGATTTAAAATAAAAATAATTTTATAGATTTTTTATTATGGTTTATATTAAATTAAATAACAATGGTAGGGGTTTCAGCTTCGCTGGTTCCCTTTATGTATAACAGGTTTGTGAATCACGTGCGCAAACGCATCTAAACGGGTTTTCTTTCAATGAAATTATAATGATAAATACATAGATGTCAATGAACTCGGAATTCTATGGGGACAAATAACATATACCGATATATATAGTTACATTATACTTCTTCTACCTGGCAATATCCCAGCTTTTAGCCAGGATCTGCCTTACATGTTGTGAATAGTTTTGGCTAATTGTTTTTACGACCGGCCGCCTGCCTGACATCAACCCTCTTTGGGAATGCATTAATTAGTTATGTCTAAATACTCTTAGAAAGTACATATGACTCGGAAAAATCACATTGGTACTTGCCAGGGCTAGGATCGAACCCGCGCCCTCGTGCATGATAGGTGGGCTTTTTAACCACTAGGCCGCCACTGACTTGTTACATACATCTATACTAATATTATAAAGCTGAAGAGTTTGTTTGTTTGTTTGTTTGTTTGTTTGTTTGTTTGAAAGCGCTAATCTCCGAAACTACTGGTTCGAATTGAATAATTCTTTTTCTGTTGGATAGTCCAGTTATCGAGGAAGGCTTTGGGCTATATAAAACCACGCTACGACCAATAGGAGCAAAGATATAGTGGTAAATGTGTAAAAAACGGGAGAAATTATTTCATCTTTGAAGCCTTCCGTTGCGTGCGCAGTGAAAATGGTTCAAGATACACAAAAAATATGTAGTAAAGAATAATAGCTCTTTTAATGATCTAAAAAACAGTCCGCGACAGTATATGTCTATCTTTTAAGATTAACTCACAAAAACCGTTTTTATGGTACCTAATTTGGTCGAAATAATTTGTTTAAGTTGGATCAACATAATAATATTAATCTTTATTCAAATAAACAAATAAATATGTTGTTGGTTAAGACTACTTCATTGTGAATTAAAAAAAAAAACATTTTTATCCTTAAAATTCTATGGGAACTCGACCATTCCGAAAACCCCGCAAGAACGGGAACTATGTGGGAAGGACCAAAAATCTGCCGGAAGTCACTATTCCACGCAGACGAAGTCGCGGCAAAAGCTAGTTCTTTATATAAATAATATTTTTATCTTCGTGATAAATGAAAATCGATCTTAATCAGGTGACTTAAGTTTTGATGCTCAAAGTATTCAAGCGTAGTGACTGACTCCATTACTTAATAGTTTTTTATCGATAAATCCTCGGAACGTTTAAAACGTATACATGAATGACACTTCGTTTTTATTTTGGCTATAAAAAAGCAATGAGGAACATGATTGTAATCATAAAAAACGATCTTCAGAAACAAAACGATTAGATTTACACTATCACTCTATAACACTTACTTGTTACTCTTTTCCAGATTTTCTATCGATATTCAGAAATTTTCGTACATCATTAATTTCTTATACAGGGTGACTGGTGAATTACTATCGATACTTTAGGACGTGATATTTGACGATCATATATGACAAAATAAAAATTAATATAACATAAATATTAATAAACTTCTAAGTAAAGTTAACCAAAAGTTATGTAATTAATTACGCATCATGTGAACACCCTACAGATTAGGTATACACTCACACTCATACGCGAGCGGGGCGTGGTGTTGTATCAGCACGCCGCCGCACGCTTCCACACTTGGAACACTTGGAACGTGTCAACACTTTATTTATTTATACGGAAATTTGGTCAAAAATTAAGTGCCTATTTTTTTTTACATAATTCGAATGAGAATCATGTACCGAGTATTCTCCTTAAATATTGATAGTAATTCACCAGTTACCCTGTATATAAATGCAGAATCTATAAAAGTTTCCAAAATTTTATACCAATATAAAATATCCAGAAATCTTGTAACTCTGGAAAAAATACTTTAGGAAGATGTACACGTATAACCATTTAGAGTTACCTAGTTTGAAAATTTTACTTTTTTAAGAGAAAAGACGACCAGTTTCCATACTTATATCTATTAAACAATAATTACATCACTTTAGCAATAAAATATATTTTATACCAATAAACTACCACATACTAGCTACTGACTTTTACTACTTATAACAATGTTTGAACCATACAATTTAATCTACTAAACCTTGATTGAACTCGTTCTAACTAGACGCAATAATTACTCGGAGACTGTATAATGTATATCGTAAACTACAAATAAATCACTTACCGGCGTATACCCGATTTATCTGATGTATTCATCATTACTAGATTTGCCTTCTATAGTTCTAGACTATTTCAATGTCTTATGTACGTAAAGACATAAAATGGCTTTATGGTTTGGTTCTTTGTTATTAAAATATTGGTTAGGTTGGTTTCGGATGTATATTATAGAATTTCAAAGATAAGTACTGATAAACATATATTTAAAATATATATATATAAAAGAAACTTGTGTTTGTTGCACTTTTTATAACTCAAGAACGGCCGTAGCTTAGGGATATGGTTGAAAATTGGTGGGGGCTAGCTTAGAACCAGGAGACGGACATACTGTTTGATCAAAAAACAAAAACAAAACAATATCTGGTTATTTACGGCCTTTGAGGCGGAATAGATTTCGCCCGGTCAGCAATACATATATTACTAATGCCGAAATTAACGCCGACGAAGTCGCGGGCAAATACTAGTAAATTATTTGAGATTTTATTCTCATATCATGAATGTGTTCGGATTTATTATAATACGTTATCACAGTAGCACTTAGATGTATTAATTATCTTATCTTAAAGATCTTATGCATCTCCATGACAGAAGGTTATTTGAATATGAGTCTTTAGACTCTAGGACTTACTTCTACAGTTTGATGACGTCAAAGCTATATATTAGTCAGTGGTAGCCTAGTGGTTAAAAGGCCCGACTCTCATGCATGAGTCATATGTACTTTCTAAGAGTATTTAGACATCATTGATTAATGCATTCCCAAAGAGGGTTGATGTCAGTCAGGCGGTCGGTCGTAAAAAACAATTAGCCAAAACTATTCACAACATGTAAGGCAGACCCTGGCTAAAGCTGGGAAATTGCCAGGTAGAAGAAGAAAGCAATATACCCTTTTATACGCCATTTCAAATTATCACGTCTTTAAGTCTCATGTGCTATTTTTAATGTCGGAATAATTACGTTCTATGTCAAAAAAATATTAATAACCATAATTATTAACTATCATTGAAATAAGTTAATATTACTGTAAAAATATTAACTGAGTTATTTTAATTTCTTTGTTCCCTTATTAACACTAGATTTATCTTATAGTATCTTTATTAACTGTGTAAGATAATGAGGTTTGAGATCAAATTGTTTTTATATCACGAAAATTAACTTTGGAGACTAGTTCTGGACTAAGAGGTGGAGATTTCTTAGAGTAAGTTTAAACAAATAGGCATTCTTAACTTTGTACATATATATACAGGGTGACTGGTGAATTACTATCGATATTTAAGGACGTGATATTTGACGATCATATATGACAAAATAAAAATTAATATAACATAAATATTAATAAACTTCTAAGTAAAGTTAACCAAAAGTTATGTAATTAATTACGCATCGTATGAACACCCTACAGATTAGGTATACACACACACACACACTCGCGCGCGGCGGCGTCTTGTTGTATCAGCACGCCGCCGCACGCGTTCACACCTGGAACACTTGGAACGTGTCAACACGTTATTTATTTATACGGAAATTTTGTCAAAAATTAAGTACCGATTTTTTTTACATAATTCGAATGAGAATCATGTATCGAGTATGCTCCTTAAATATTGTATAAAGTATAAATATATATTGTATAAAGTATAAATATATATATATATACACTAGCTTTCTGCCCGCAGCTTCGCCTGCGTGGAGTTCGGTTATATCGCGTTTCCAAGAGAACCTTTCTGTCTGGGATAAAAACTATCCTATGTTCTTTCTCAAGGTCAACTCTATGTCTGTACCAAATTTCATTAAAATCAGTTCAGTGGTTTAGGCGTGAAAGCGTAACAGACAGACAAACAGAGTTACTTTCGCATTTATAATATTAGTAGGCATTAGTAGAGATACTCGTCTATGTATGCTAACAAGTCTGAAACTAAGAATTTATAATAAAATCATACGAGAGATGATATATATGTTATATCATAAATAAAACATATAATACTATATTATTCAATCACTGCCAGATAAGAATCCGTGTAGACTTGATTGACATACGCTGACATTTTTTTCTATAAATTAATATTAAGTCACACATAAGGAAAAGATTAATACAAGTTTTTGTATCGAGTAAATACAGACTGACAGTTTCCAGTTTTTTAATTAATAAATCATTCAACAGTTGCATCAAAATGTGTTTAGTTTAACAATGAGAACTTATGGTTACGAATACGATTAAGTTTCGTGTCAGTTAAACTGATATTAAACCGGTGGTCATTAATAAAGAGAAATCGTTATTTGAAACTGATTATTTGAACAAATTACATTTCGATTTGATTTGGCTTACTTATTAGAACTTAATGAAAACAGCTACACTTACTTCTATAAATGCGAAGGTAAGTCTATCTGATTGCTACCTGTATGACTAATTTTCTTAACATATTTTATTAAAATATTATAGACACAAAACGATCTATATCTATAGATACATGAGCTATAGAATAAGCTACATTAAGAAACTTGTTTGTCTTAATATTATTAAAAAAATGTGATTAAATAAACAAAAGTATCGTAAAGTAAAAATTCAAATAAGTAAAAATACAGTCGAAATTACGAAATGTTATAAAGTTGCTTTTTTATGTAAAACTTCTATAATAAATCCTAAGAAAATACTCCAGCTATAGAAAAGGCTACATTAAGAAATTTGTTTGTCTTAATATTAGTACAAAAAAATTGCGATATAAACAAAAGTAACACAAAATAAACAAAAATAATAGGTAAAAGTGCAGTCGAAATTACGCATTTTATGAAATCCTAAGAAAATACGCCAAGTATCATTTCTATCATTACAGTGACCGTACCAGTATTGAACTTCGGTATGTTGATGGGATGGCAGTCACCTATGACACCGATCCTCCAATCCAAAGATGGACCAGCTCCGGAACCGATTTCAGATGAAACAATATCTTGGATGGCATCTATAACTTTCTTCCCTCCTATATTCTGCGGCCTACTAGTTGGTGACTTGGCTGATAGATGGGGCAGAAAGATCACCACATTACTTACATCCCTCTTATTAACTGTAAGTATTTAAATTTATATGTATTATATGTATATAAAAAATCTGAAATTTTAATCATTTTTTTTTTGTTGGGAAAATTTCCTATGTAGTATTCATAAAAAGTATTTATAATTTTCTATATTTTTTTGTTTTTCATAACTGTATTGATTAAAATGTATAATGAATCGGATTTTTCAAATACAGTAAATATGTATATCGAAGAAATATTTTAACGATACTAATTGTACGTACTAGAGAGTTTTCCATTCATTTAATATTAGGTATATAACATCTTATCTGATATTTTATAACCTTAAAATTTTCGGTATTTAAGTCAACAAATCAAATTGCAAACTAAAATTTGGTAAAGAGCTCAAATTATATAATTTTTGAAAGACGTAAGTTTCCAATCAACAATGAACCACAAACCACAAAATAAACCGCTTAATTACCGCTTAAATTTATCTGAAGATAATAATTTATCATTCATATAAATTTCGCTATGATAAAAATACCAGTTAAAAATTAACTCCATACAATATCTACCGGTTATTTTAACTGGGCCAGTGACACCGCTTTAATGACAGTTATGTAGCCAAAGTATGAGTAACCGTAAGTAAAGAAATAATCATTCGTTATAGACTTTTACTATTCAACTGGTTTTAAAATAAATAAGTATATTTTAAAAGGAAAAGATAGGGGGTACTCGTTATTATGAAGGCAGGCTCGGGAATTATCATAGTTTTGATATACATGACTGTAAAAGCCTAAAAAATATGTATTAATCTATAAGAAAATCAATAAATCTCTGTATTTTGTTTATCAATGCAATAAACTAACCTCAAACCCCTCCCTTCATTGTTATATAACTACATATGTAACAACTAATAAAAACACATCATTATCGACTTATGAGTTTTTAAACATGTAATAAATTTTATTTCCTTCATGAATGGAATACATTGTATAAATGAAACTAAGTTTTTCGGATACTACGCGACTACTACATACTATTTTTGACTTTAAACTGTAAGGAACAGAAATGTATGACTATGTAGTGTAAAAAATAATGCACGTTAAAATGAAAATAGGAAGTGGTAGAAATCAATTTATAGTGAACTCATATTGTTTGTTTAAAACAAACATTATAAACATTGCTTAAAATTCACAATTGACCCACCCATTGCCCCTCCCCAGGAGCCTTGAACATTTAACGCAACCTTGTTCAAAGTCGCATAAGGAGTTACACCTCAAAAAACACGTAATATCAGAAAACCTTAGTTTCATTTAATATGTACAAGCGAATATTTTAGATGTACCAATACATTGTATCATAGTTGAAGTATTACTAATGTAAAAATTTTAAGATTTATAAAAAGTAACTTCTTATAATTATACCAAAATAAATTACATATGAAATGAAAACGTTCGCTAAAAAATTAACAATTTATATATGTATTATAAAAATACCTGATTATTTATTTAATGCTTAGGTAAATTTTCCAACAGATTTATATAGGTAGGTATATAAGAACACAGGTTCCCATAATCTTTACGAAACAGCTTATAAGAATTCTTTATTTCCAAAGTGCTTCTCAAATAAATTTGTTTCCCATTCATCAGATAAGTTGGAGTATAACTCTGTTCTCACTGACCCCATTGGCTCTCATACTATCCCGGGGTCTGGCCGGGATAGCCTGCGCAGGATGTTACGTCATCACACCTTTATATTTAAAAGAGGTATGTACTTTAAATTCTTTAAACAATAAACATTTCAGCTGAAAACAAATATTTTCGGATTACTACGCGTATTTTATTATTTTTATATATATACCACACTTTTTGGTTATTTGCAGCGATCGTGTTGACAGGTAGAGGAGATCTAATAGTTTTTAAACAATAATAAAATGGGCAGTAATCCGAAAATATTGGTATCATTCTAATGAATACTCGCGAAATCCTAGATCATTATTTCAACTCGAAATAAAATAAAATACGTAGAATTTATTTGTATCAGAAATTTCTAACATTAGAGCTATACCTATAGGTTAATGACAAAAAATTAATTCAACTTATAGGTAGCGTCAGACAAAATCCGAGGTGCGCTAGGCTCTCTGTTCATATTGTCACAAAATTTCGGCTACCTAGTGGTGTACGTGGCCGGAGACATATTCTCGTTCAACGCTGTTCTTTGGCTCTGCACCGCTATACCTCTCATACACATGCTGTTCTTCCTTGGAGTACCTGAAACTCCTGTGTACCTCATCAAACAGGGAAAGGTTAAGGTAAGAACGAAAGAAGAATATACATTATTTAGGTGTTCCATCATTCATTCAACAGTCAGTCATCAGTCAGTCATCAGTCAGTCATCAGTCAGTAGTCAGTCAGTCTTCCATCTCTTATAAATTTTGCAAAAAAGGCCACTTTTAAATTATACATATAAAAACATATGTAATTTAAAAGTAATAATACAAACAGTTACTAGAAAAACACATATACGTTTAGTAAACAATGCAGTGTGAAATCGATTTTTTGTGGTCGAAATTTTTCACGTTTTAATATATATGACGTTATAAATTCTGTCTCCATCGAAGAATATTTGAAAAGAAATTTGAATTAAACCAATAAACAAATAAAGACTTAGTCATAGTATAATATATTATGAATTCTGATAATTAATTCTCAGTAATCTTTCAAGGTTTATACAATCCCATTCTCCATATTTCATAGATGTTCCACTGATATAATTTTCCTTAACCGTTCGAATTAAGCGTCGAAAAAATGTAAATTAATACAAAAACAGAAAGAAATATAAAATTAACATATGTACAAAAAAATAATTATATATATTTTTTTAATTTATTATTAATATTAATTACCGGAATAAATCCACAAACACATGAATCTGTTTAGATAAAAAAATACATATACCTAAAATATATTTTAATTATTTATCTTTTTTATTAAATTTATTATTATTATTAAATATAATTAATTTTAAGTTATTTCTATGAAGTCATCTATCATATTTCTTTATTTAATAATAATTCGTAATTATTACTAAGAAAAACACAAGTTATGTTTTAAAGCATTACAAATCATACCTTTGCCTTTCTAAATGTCATGTTAAAAAAGTATCAAATCCACGCGACAGACTATAAAAATCTATGTTTTATTTGTACATTATAATATTTTTTTATTAAAAATAAATAATTCTTTGGAAAATCTACTTAAATCTTAACAAACGATAAAGCATAAACTATTAATTGACACGCGCGTGATAACGGTGTCTCTCCTTGACCTGATATCAACACTTCAAATGTGATCGATATTACAAATACACTTTAAATGAAATAAATGAACCCTTATATGTTTAATTAAATGAATTTAAATGACAATATATATAGTAGATTTAGTGTCAGCGGCGTTTGTCTTATAAGTGACGATTTATTCGTACCAAAATTTGAAACGAGTTTTTACGTCATATAAAAATAAATAAATTATTTTTTTCTAATACATCCATAGAAAATACATATGTACCTATATAATAAATTTGTATAAATACGCTTACTATACTTTTTGGCATCGTCATATCAAACAGACAATTTTTTGTTTTTAACAATTCACCTACCTTCATACTACATATTATGTGCGAGGGTTTAAAGAAAAAACAGAAAACTTTCTGCATTTAATATCACGAAACAACTCCTAGTAATAACTTTCATATATTATTGTTAGGTACTAGTAATAATATAACTAGTATACTTAATAATAATTAAATAAACTTCTTTATTCAATTCGACTAACTTTATGTTTTCTCCACACAGTTCTCGTCCAACAAATAAAAACGTTGATTTTAACAAATTATTTTACCATTCCAGTGCGAATGAAGCCTTACTTAAAAAATTGTTATAGCGTTTGCATGATTGAGTAACGAATACAAACAGACAAATACTAGAACGCTTTCACTTCTATATAAAAACGGGTCATAGTTCAAAGTTCATAGTAAAATTAGTTGATAAATAACTTTCAATAAATACTTCTATTGAACAAAGTATGTGATATATTTTAAATAATTAATATTATGAAACAAATAATATGTATATTAATAGTTTTTTTGGTTGTAACTTCTAGTTTGCGATAATACTGCATATAAGTGTTTTTTGTTTTTGTATTGAAATATATTCGCATATTGTACTTTAAATATAAGTGTATTGTATATAAATAATAATTATGGAAAACTTATTCTTTCAACTAGCTTTTGTTTGTGGATAATATTCAAAAACATAATTTGGTTAAATAAAGGTAATATATACATATATAATATAGACCCTATATTCTAATATACTATATTTTTATTTAATCTGTGTTTTCCCATTATTTTTGTAATTTTAAATTAGAATAATATTAAAATTAATTACATTTTTTTTTCTTTTACGACCATCATTCCATAGACAAAAAAATACTGATTTCTCATATTAGTAAACTTAAAAAAATATCAAAAGTAATATTTATTAACGTAATTATTCTACATATAATTAATTAATCCATTAAGTATCTTTTACACAACATAAAATTACTGACGATATGAAATAATTATAATATTAAATATCAAAAAAACTCTTTTTTCCTTAACGATAGAAAAAATGTATTCACATACAAATTTACTGCTTACACGAGCATAGACAAAAAAATAAAAAACAAAGCTGTATTCAAAAAACTTATGCCTGAATACAAAGTTAATTAAAAAAAAATATTCAAGGAGGCGAGAGCGACTTTAGCGTGGTTAAGAAATACGTCGATTGATGACAAAAACTTAGAAGAAGAAATACAACAGATGGAAAGAGAAGAGGAATACGCCAAGTCCGTACAGAAAGCTACGTGGCGAAGTTTGGGTATGGTATCATCATATAATATTTAAATACAATAGTTTAAACCATCGACATATACTAATAGACGTACCGTACGCGTATAATCTGCAGTAATTTTTTGGTTTGAAAAGAGTGAGAGAGATGGCCTATGCTTTCGATATAGCGCTATCTCTTTCCTCATAGATGATTGGCGCTTGGCTCACAACGTCTTAAATACGGTACTATTTTGAGAGAGATAAAGATAGACCGAAACTTCGTTTCCTCTCTTTCTTTCGGAATGCTCCAATTCTCATCTCTAAGGCATGTCCATTAGTATAAGTCGATGGTTTAAACTAGTCGGCCATCTTGGATTTCGAATGACGTCACATCTAAGTTGACCTTGTCATTCAAATTAAATATAAAACTTCAGATCAATCGGTTTCATATATGTGAAATAAAATTGCTTAATAAACATATTATATAAACATAAATATATATGAATAAATTTTCAGTTAGTTGAAAATTTTAAAATAAGTAACATTCACATCATTAAGTATAAACAAATCATTTTACCCAAAATAGCTCTTCATAGCTAGAAAATGATGAAAGTAACAATTAAAAAATCTACATATTCCAAATTCAAATTTCCAGTCAAGGACAAGACGACGTTCAAAGCGTTCAGGCTGTCAATAAACGTGATGTTGTCTCAAGAGACGTGCGGCTACTTGGTAGTGCTCATGTACGCGGGCTCCATCTTCGAACAGGCGTCAGAGTCCATCCATCTTAAGTTGAGCCCCAACAAGCAGACGATCGTAGTCGGCGCCATACAACTGCTGGGGTCAATACTCGCTAGCTGCATCGTAGAAAAGACTGGCAGGAAGGTAATATGATGGCAATTTTTTTTTTTTACAGAATTAGTATGTATGAGTACTACTTTTAAAATCCGAACTGTCAGTCATAAAAGAAAAAGCATCTCGTTTCAAATTTAGAATATTTACAGTTCTAAAATTAAAATATGTTTTTATTTATGATAAATTCTAGTGAATTACTATTATATAAATTTTCTTCTAATGTATGTTTATATCCTCAGTGGCTGTTAGCAGTGACGTCATTCGTAACGGGTCTCTCAATGCTGGGTCTGGGCGCGTGGTTTTTCGTAACATCCTATTCAATATGGCTGCCGGGCTGGTTTCCGGTGGCGGCCATGTGTTGTTGTATATTCGCTGACGCGGCCGGCTACCAGCCCGTACCTTATGTTATTACGTCCGAGCTGTTTTCTTTTCAGGTAAGTGTTTTAGAGCAAATAATAATAACAATAAGTTTTCCTTAATTTAATGAGATTTGGAAAATAATATTTCTTTGCAATTCCATATTGATCCATATATAAAAAAATATATACTTGTGTACATAATTATCTGTAATCAGTACAAATCCAGATATAAATTGTTCCAATTGACAGTTATAAAAAAAAACACAATTAAAAAAGAATCTTTTAAGCATTGACAATTAAGAAATCTTAAATTAGAAAAAAAACTTTATCGTTTATTCCAGCATCGTGGTATGGTAACATCATTTGTGAGTAGCGTCGACGCTTTGAGCGACTTCCTACAAACAAAAGCTTACGACCCGCTTCTTAAACTACTAGGAATACATTGGGTCTTCATCATGTTCTCTATGGTATGCTTCGCTGGCACAACATACACTGTATTATACGTACCAGAGACAAAAGATAGAACACTAGAGGAAATATACGCCATCTTGGACAGGAAGAAAGATAAAAGAAAAGACGAAGAAGCGGGAAAAGGTTTAGAAATCAGTAGATTGTAAATAAACGTACTTAACGCCTAGCGGACATTTTGATATTTTTATAAAAATATATATATATATAATTTTGAATACTTTTGATTGTGCAATTGATTTGAATCTTATTTGTACTGTGATAAAGTCGAAATTATTTGTTACGCTGGACCTATTCACCCCGATTGTGATATTTATGACGAATTATATAAGGTATTATTAGTTTTAAGAACAGATTATATTAAAACTTTATTTATTATCTTGTTTTATTATATACATTCTGTGGACTTTTAATATATTTAATAATCTGTAGTTATATTATTAAATAAATAAAATTAAACATGCAAAGAAATTGAACAGAATTTACAAAATAATTCAAATATACTTAGAGGAATAGAATCATAAAAATTTTATTTACACAAGATCGTAAAATGTACAATTTACAGATTAAATAAAATATATTATATGTAGTTGAAACCAATAACGTAACAATGAACTGGGTTTTTGTTCTTATGACTTTATCAATGTTTTATAAATATATTTTGACTTATGATGACGAAGCTTCAGTAGGTAAGGTATAGCTGATATACTTTTAAATTATAATTAAATCTTTTATATGAGGTTAAGTTAATAAGATTTTATTCTGTAGATTACTATGACTATCATAAAAATGTTTTCCATATAAATATCTGTAGAATTTGAGATTTAATTTAATATGAGACCGTAGTTTAAATTTTCGTTTCTCTTATTTATAAAGAAATTAAGTATCAATCATGTAAAAAAATAAATAATAGTTAATCTCTCACATACTTTTGCGTATTTAAGTTAAATTTAAATTAAATCTGGACCCGGATGGAGAGGCTCCGCTCATAGATGGCCGGCGGAAACATAGAGATAATAAAAAATCATTGAGAGTCCGTAATGACTTCCTGTTCAGTTTGAACAAAGACGCTCTCAGAATCCGTGGCGGGAACACAACAGACACAACCAACTATCCGTATATAGCGGCCATTATAATAAACGGCAGGTTATGGTGCGCGGGAACTATAGTTGATGTTAACTGGATATTGACAGCGGCACATTGTTTAAATTAGTAAGTTATTACATACAATTCGTTACTTTATGAAAAAAATCTTGAGGTTACGTGGGCAAAGTGACAGGAGAAGATAGTATACGTATGTATATTTAAGATTCTAACAAAATCATTAACTTATAAAACCAGTAGTTTTAAATAACATATCAAACCTTAACTACAAAAAACTAGTTATTTTAAACCAATACACCTCCAATAAGTTAAATTCAATTATAAAGACGCAAGTCGCGTCAGAAAATACTTTCCCGCGTAAAAGTGAACAAAACAAATGTCATCACTTTAACGTCACTTTGGGTGCGTTCAGGAATTTGGAGGTTCGGTTCAAATTAAATATGTGTTCCCTAAATATATAGTACAAATCTGATATTATTAATCAATAACGTAGTTAACTTAAAGTATTCCACAATTGCAATGCGAATAGAGCCATATAATAAAAAAAAATACGTAAATTCTGAATATCCGATTAGAGGAACTATTGTGCTATTAAATAAAGTAAAACTTTCAAGTCTCCAGATTTATACTTTACTAGCTTTCCGCCCGCAGCTCCGCCCGAGTGGAGTTCGGTTATATCGCGTTTCCAAGTGAACCTTTCAAGAGTCTGGGATAAAAACTATCGTATATTCTTTCTCAAGGTCAACTCTATATCTGTACCAAATTTCATTAAAAGCAGTTCAGTGGTTTAGGCGTGAAAGCGTAACAGACAGACAGACAGAGTTACTTTCTCATTTATAATATTAGTAGGAATGTAGACAAGTCCTAACTTCACCTTGTAGCGTGCTTCACGTATCACCAATGAAGACTCTGGGTCAGTATGTGAAGGTGAGGGTGGGAAGTGCCCAGGCTCATGAAGGAGGGATGCTGGTTGATGTAGCCGGAGCTATACGACACCCGAAATTCGAAGAAGAACCAGTACCTCACGCTGATGTAGCTCTATTGAAACTAGCTGAGAATCTCGGTGTGAAAGACTAATATTATACAATATAAATGTAAATGAAACTAATATTTATCGGATTATACTACGTAAAAAACTGCATACTTTCGTTTCGCATACTATTCAGCAACCGTGATAAGCAGACGAGATGTGAATCTAAATTTATTAGCAGTGCCGTAACTAGCCTTTTATGCACCCTTTTTTTTTGGCGCGCACTGGGAAAAAATGCTTTTATGCACCCGGTGCAAGCTTTCAAAATTGCGCCCCTGAAAAATGCTCTAACCAGGCTCTGAAAATAAAATGGACAAATGTGCATACAAATAAATCTATCTATTTATTGTTTACCAAAGTAACAAAGTATATAAGTATATAGCTGCCCTGCATGAGATATAACTAGAAACTAGTCTGGTCATTTCTGTCCCCCTCCAGGGTCTGCGCCCTGTGCCTGGGCACTGCTGGCACCGCCCTAGTTACGGCACTGTTCATTAGTATTAGTTTCATTTAAATATATACACGTGAAATCCTTAAATCTCATGATAGATATCTTCAATGATCCGATTAATCTACAGAATTCTCAACTCACATCAATCTGATTAAAATAAACGAAGGCATGAAAGAGCCTTACGCACAGAGTTTCGTTTCTGTCACCGGCTGGGGAGCGACACGTGTAAATATATTTTATTAATCTCCATTATTAACTAATTTCTATACGCAAAAACGATGACAGAAAATCAAATATAATTGTTAAAAAATATTAAAATTTTAAAGACTTCTGTTAATTAAAAATAGAAAAGAATTCATTGTGTATATTCTACATTTAAAAAATTTTGTTGACGTAAATTAACTTATTACAGAGTAACAAATTAAAAAAATACAGATTATGCTAATATTAAATCCTATTTTTAACTCCCGTATGATGACAATTTTAATACTTTTGACACAATTTAGGATCACAGATTATAAAAATTTAAGTTTTTTTTCTCTAACCTCAGGGCACAGACACAGCTTTTAGGGAACACACGCCCGACTTGATGACGGCTCGTCTCAAAGTTCGCACAGTGAGCTACTGTAGAGACGCCTACCAACTGGTCAGCGGCTTCCAATTCACTGCAGACTTCTTCTGTGCTTCATTGAGAAACGGCACCAGAGATGCATGCTTGGTAATAATAAATACATTAACGTATAAATACTTTCACGAACTTCCAAACTATTACATACAAACTATTTGGTTGATTTAAAATTGCTAAGAAATTTTGTTTTAAATCATTGCTGACGTGAACTCCCTTTTATTTAAAAACTAATCGCTGTTAAACTGAAGTTTAGGAAAAAAGGTTTAAAACTAAAAACAAATACTAACATTTTATACCTGTAGACTGTATTCTTAAATCACACCATTGGCGTTAACAGTTTTTCGTATAAATCTTCGCACTACACTTCTTTAGTGTTAAAATAGCCTTCTGATAGTTTTAATGCCATTTATCCAGTACTTGTGAAAAGTTATAATTATGGGAAATGCCTTTATATTAAGTAATGATTCTCAGTTCTCACATTCGATAAAACGGTTAATCAAACACAGTTACTACAAACTTTGATTATGATGATAAGAAAAAAATGATTTTAAGAATATTTGTGAAAGATAGGTACATTTTGAAATCACGTTTTCTCAACAAGCATTCCATATTATGCATGGAAAAGTAAACCAAGTCCAATATTGAAGTTTATTTAATACTTAATGTATATAATATATTTTAATACAAACATTCTGTGAATATTATTATTAATCTTTATTATGTTCGTCAGTTCGACGCGGGCGCGCCAGCCACGCAACACAACAAATTAATGGGCGTCATGAGCTTCGGGCCCGAGCGTTGTGGACATGAATACCAACCGGCCGTGTTCATTAAGGCTTTTTATTTCAGGTTATTTATATTTACTTCAATTGATTTACGATTTGCTTTACTCATTTTGTAGACTTGTGGAGGTTTGACACTCAAGGAAGCCTTTCTTTAAGCACAACCTTAAACAACTAAATATAATATAACGTTAATAAAAACAAAGTGAATCAAACTATATTAGTAGTAAGTCGTGGTGGCCTAGTGGTTAAATAGCCCGCTCCTCGTGAAGAAGGGTGGGGGTTTGAAACCTGCCAAGTACCAATGTGATTTTTTCGAGTGCTTTCTAAGAGTACTTAGACACTTGTGATAGACGGTGAAGAAAAACATCGTGAGGAAACTTGGACTTATAATTTGAAAATTATTAGTCGGAAATCACAAATTCGCCGCAAGCGTGGTGATTAATGCTCAAATCTTCTCCATGTGAGAAGAGGCCTTTGCTCAGCGTTAGGCTCTGATAGGCTGATGATGATTTATAGTTGTAATTTGACATTATATTACTTTCAAATGTCACCACTCGCCATCTGTCAAAATGACAATCAAATAATTTTTGGTACTTCATATATATATTCATATAATTATTCTGTCTCTTGTGAAGGGATTTCGTGAAGCACACTATATCTTCATACAAGACTACAGCTGAACTGATAGAAGCGATGAAAGATATCGATAAAGTTGTCAGACCGCCCATACACGTGAGACAGGAACACGTGGAACACGTGACCGAAGAAGAAGAGCAAGAAGTCACGGATCCAGATTATAAACACGATTGATTTAATAAAAATATATAATAGCTTTTCAATAAGTATTATAATTTTAATATATAAAATTTATTGAAAATACAAGTTCAGAATTAAAATTTATTTGTAAAAATACAGGGTGACTGGTGAATTACTATCGATATTTGAGGACGTGATATTTGACGATCATATATGACAAAATAAAAATTAATATAACATAAATATTAATAAACTTCTAAGTAAAGTTAACCAAAAATTATGTAATTAATTACGCATCGTGTGAACACCCTACAGATTAGGTATACACTGACACTCACACATACGCGTGTCGTGACGTGGTGTTGTATCAGCACGCCGCCGCACGCGTCCACACTTGAACACTTGGAACGTATCAACACTTTATTTATTTATACGGAAATTTTGTCAAAAATTAAGTGCCTATTTTTTTACATAATTCGAATGAGAATCATGTACCGAGTATTCTCCTTAAATATTGATAGTAATTCACCAGTCACCCTGTATATAATAAATAAATCGTCAGGAACAGAATTAGAATCTAAAATCTTCGCTACTTATATCGACTGTAATTAAATTTTAATATTACCTCAGTTTAGGTTTTATAGATCATTTTAACGGTAGCTAGTTGATAGGTCCTATAATACAGCCGAACAAATTTGATTCTAGTTTCAATAGGTTGCTGAGTATTAGTGACAATTTTATTTATTGTAATATATTATTCTTAAAAAGAGTTAATAAGATGCTGCAGAAACCAGGTCGAAGAGAACTAATTATATGATATGCAATTCCTTAGTATTCAATAGTTAGTGGAAAATGTAAAATTATTATTTGGTTCTGAAATGTGTTTGTAGATCTCTTTAAACAATTAATTAATGGTATGTTTTAAGGAATATGTTGAACGGTGTTTCTTAAGCCATAGACGGACCGGGTTAGGCGTAGCGATCTGCAGTTGTCATACTAAATTCATAGCCCCACATACACGAGACGCTGAAGAAGAAGCATGAAGGGTAGAAGCATTCGTTCTGTGATCGAGATTCGCCGGGTTTTCGATTGCTTATAGCTTCTGAACCTATCATACACGGACTGCTACAAGCGCCTCCCTCTTAATACAAATACCTTCCTTTCATCAGGCTAACAGTCTAACGCTCCCGTTTCACTCAATTATATTGTGGTCGAACAGAATTCCTCCAAGAAATCACAGTCGACTACATTATACGGTCGTATAGTAATGTACGACTACAACGTGACCGTTCTATCGTTTAAACTCTAGAACTCGGTCTCGACTATTACATGACTATTGAACAGATTATTATTCAACCAAGTTTTTTTATAGACTATATTGCAGTTAAATAAATCGACATTGCCAATTAGTTTAAAAATAGTTTAGGCCCACAATAAAAGGTTTAGACTATATATATTGGAGACCACACGAAAATTCATTTGCCACTACAGTTTAATACCATAAATTTACTTTTAAGATGAGTTCGTTGGGGCGAATGTGACCGCGGGACTAGTTAGTGTCTTAAAGTAGTATACGGTTTAACACGTTAGGAGAAATACCATCACGGTGTTTTTGTATCGAGCCCTATATAAATATAATAAGGGGGTCTATATACAACATTCTGCTCATACAATATATGAATCCCTTTAAGTCCCTTTATAGCAAAGGGTTTAGACGGATCTTAAGCGCTGTAGTTCACTATCACAGCTAGATAAAATGCATTGACAATGGAAAACGAGTGATACATACTTAAAGACTTTCCACCAAGTATGCGGGTAGTATAGAAATAATTTTAAACAGTTTTGATTTAATCCTAACAAATGGTACTTCAACAGCCAGAATTATTATTTGTAAGTTAGAAGCTTCATCATTATAGGTGTGTATAAATAAATAAGATATTAAATGTATTTATTATTTATTTTAATACATAACTACAGAGAATCATCACTGCGAGTAACGCGAGCCGTCCGGGCCTCAAGTTTTTGGTACACTTAAAATTATTAAGACACAAAACAATTAAAAAAATTAAAACATTAAGTTATTATAGAAACGTGGACATCGAAACGTAAATATATCATAGAGTAGTTTGTTAAAACATGATTAGAACAAAAAACATTACTTTGAATAATACACACAATTCTTTTAATTATATCAAAATTATAATAAACAAACATTATTCTTCGCTTCATATTTTTCATTCCATAATTATATTATTGTATATAATCAATGTTAGAGCCTCTTCTCATTCCCTGTGGCGTTTCACGGACGTTTTTCCAACGGGATAAAAAACGCTACAAAAGAAACGCTCGTTCCGATCCCTTCTATTTAATTTACGTTCCAACGACCACGTAATAATTTCATTAACAATTATTGTGTCTTGCATATAATACACATGATTTCGAATTAAAATTATCATACTGTTTCAGTAAAATCAGAAATTTCGCCAATAAAAATAATAATTATAATAATTTCATATATGTAAATCATTGTATTATGCTGTATATTTTACATATCATGTGTATTCGGGGCGCGCGAGAATAAAACTTAGGAATAAAAGGAAAAAAACTCGACCAACCGAAAAAAAAAAGAAAATTACATCTAAAACAACGAGCAAAAACTGTATCATTAACTTACAATCAAACGCTATAATACACTGTTCTCCTTCATTATATATTCTCTAGTCATAAGTCCCGAGACTCAATCTCATAACGAGAAATCACTTCAAAAGAAACCATTTTGTATGAAACAAAAATATTCAACCTGAATTAGGTATTAACATCTGGTATTATAAAATCTAAAATTTTGGACCGAATTAAAACCAATGAAAAGCATTTCTCACAACACAACATTATTTTGATGCACGTATTAAATTTTTATACATTCGACTCTATTCGTCTTATAAAATTTATGAATAGACCAGTCCATTAAAAAAAATTTCTATATCCTTCAAAGGAATATGAGTCTTATGTCTTTGAATTAGAGTATAGCCAGTCTTCATTAAGCGTAACAACTGACTTGAAGATACAGGATGTATTCTTATATAGAGGCCGGATGTTACGTCACACATCTCATACAAAACAATGTTCAGAGTTAACACTATAAGAATATGTTTATTGTTATAGATATAGTAAGTTGAAAGTAGGTAACAAATGAATTGAATAGAATACGCATTTGAACACGCGAAATTTTAAAAAATTTAATAGACCTATATTGACAGTGACATTGGCAGATATATGACATTGACAGACACAGATTAAATAACAGGTCACCAAGTATAGAATACATCCCAGTATGTATAATTCAGTCGCTTAAGGCGCGTTTTGTTTGCGGTTCATCTAATTCTGTTTCCGGTGGTTGTTCGATCCCAGGTAGAATTATTTGCGTTTCCGACGCTTCAGAGGGCTGAAAAGAATAACAAATACATATAAATCACAACAAAGTGAGTAACGAAAATCATAGCTTCAAGCCTGAAAAATCTTAGAGAAGAGTTTAGCGTAATGTATAAGTTATTATATCGTCAGATAGTTATATCGTCAGAACTATTTCAAAAGCTTATATTAGTTGGTATACATTTTTTATTTTATGCTAAGGCTTCATTCGCACTGTATGATAAGTTATTGATAAATTACGTCTTATCATATACGACTTTGGAAGTCCATCAGATTCTAAAATAATCACGACTTAAAATTATTATCTTAAGCTGCTCCACATAATGTTTAATTTAGTATTAATACTCTCAGTTTGCAGGAAAATAGCACCATTGTATATACTGACATATTTCCCATTTATTCTTATTACATATTAATTACTGAACAGAACAATCCTTATATGTTTTATATAATATATACATACCTCTACATCATTAGTATTTTCTGAATCCTTGTCTTGTCTGGGACGTTTCTTTGCCTTTGTGTTTGTTTCTGTAGGAGCCTGGCGTTTTGGTTGGAACTAAAATACATATAATTATTAGTATTACTAAGGAATTAATAAAGCATCTAATTACAGATATCTTACAATCTAATTATAAAATAAATATATGAATCTTGTCCAAATATAAAAATATTAAATTAAGTAGATTTATATTATAAGTTTAGTATTTTTAACTTCAATTTAACACTACAACTTAACTAATTAATTTTCGTCATCATCGACTTATGAATTGTTCTTAGAGAAATTTATATTACTAAGACAATGAATATGATAATATAATCTTTGTCATTGAAGCTCACACACAATACAACTATTATGTTATGTTCCCCCTTGATCTAACCTCTAATATAACTATGAAGTATCAAAGAAAATTAAATAATTTTTACATTCATACACACCCAAAGACCAAAGTCCTCAAAAATTTTAATATATGATTATAAATATAACCTGGTTATGATATGATAATGTATATAACCTGTAGCTCCGGCGGTAGGAAAACCCTTGTGTTGACGAAGAAGTCTGGCTGAGGAGCGAAGTACATGGTGGGGATGCGAGCGTCAGATGGGAAGTCTCGGAGCTCAAAACTACTAGACCGAGCCCAGATGACTGACATGGCTAGGTCACACGTCGCCCAGAGTTTCTATAACATATTATATACATATATTAAATTTAAATATATAAAACTTATTGAAAAACTGAAATATTTATTTAGTTTTATATTTTATGATATAATATTTAATAAATAAATTAAACTGTTTACACTTGTTAGGAATTTTAACATTTTGGTTGTGTAAATGATACTGATATATTTTATAGGATGAATAGTATTAAAATTACAATTGTGGAATTATATTCAAAGTTACTATTAAGACACATACATACTGTGTTTAGGTTTTTTGATACACAAATTTAATTGCATACATAGTATAATATATTCCATTATGTTTTTTTAGTGTTTTTATTAAACAAATCATCTTAATGTGTTTCTTTTTAACCTTGTATCTTGACATATACTCACATAATTAACCGAGTCATCAGTTTCATTTAGAGCGTCTTTGTGATTCTTCATTCTTTCAACCAAGCTTTTGTAGAATCCGTAGCAGTAGAAGTCATTGCGTGTTATAAGCGGTTCCAGTATGAACCATAGACATTGTTTCACCACCTGAAATTGAAATAATATATTCATTAATTATTCTATAACCAGTTATAGAAATTATTGTAAGGATTATACTTTATTATGACTAATATGTCACAGATGGCGGCACTAGTTATAATATCTCACTCATAAGTTATATATAACCAATCGGTCATAGTAATAAATCTTCTTCTACCTGACAATTTCTTAGCTTTAGCCAGGGTCTGCCTTACATGTTGTGAATAGTTTTGGCTAATTGTTTTTACGATAGGCCGCCTGCCTGACATCAACCCTCTTTGGGAATGCATTAATCAGTGATGTCTAATTACTCTTAGAAAGTACATATGACTCTGAAAAATCACATTGGTACTTGCCAGGATCTAACCCGCGTCCTCATGCATGAGAGGCGGGCCTTTTAACCACTAGGCCACTAATAATATGTCTCACCTTTAGTTGCTGTACATTATCGTGAGCCGTGAAGGCGGGGTCGTGAGCCAACACAGGTACAGCGAACACCATCATGTAGTCTGGCAGGATGTGAGGCAACTGAGACACGGCGCGCTCCACTGTTGATATAATACATTTTGTTATATACATAGTTAGAAATATGTTGAAAAAAATATTAAATTGTATGATACCTTAAAAATATTTCACTCTCTCTTTATCTCCTAATATATCCAAATTGAATGATATCTAACATTTTGTTGTGTACATACTCATTTAAATGAAACTGAGAATTTTCGATATTGCTATATTAGTTTTTCATTACGTTCACTACATACCCCGACGTTTCGCTTACTTTACAAGCGTGATCATGAGCAGACAAGATGAAATTCCAAATATAAACTTATATATCCTACTACCTAAGATCTACATCAAGTATATGATATTCACCCACCCATGGTCCCTACTATGATGTTCCTGTATGTACGTCACAGATGGCACCACTTGTAACGCACGGGCAGACGAGATAACAATCCAAATATATACCTACATATATATCCTATGTAAGATCTATGTATGTATGTATGTATATAATAACCACTCACCCTTAGTCCCCACGGTAATATTCCTCACGTATTCTCTGCGTCTCACCACATCAGCTAACATGTATTGCCTCACGAGTCCTCTCACTCGTCGGTCAGGCTCGCGGCCAGCCAACGCGTACATACCCATGAAATCCAACGGCAGGCACTTGTTTGGTATACCCTGGAAACAACAGCTCGAACAATTATATATATTCTTCTACCTTGCAATTTAGCAGATTCAGCCAGGGTCTGCCTTATCTATTGAGAATAGTTTTTACGACCGGCCGCCTGCCTGACATCAACCCTATTTGGGTTTAAATTATACATCTATAACATTATTATACTGATAGGCAAAAGTATTATAGAATTGGGTTTTTGAATTATTATTTTTTTTGTGATAAATGGAAAGATAATATATAAGTTTTATAACAAAACTATTTTTATTTTATTTTTTTTGCAATAATTAAAAAGTTATATCAAAATAAAAATTAAATTTTAAATTCAGTACCGAAGACCCGCCGACAGCTCGCGAATAAACCCGAGCGCGTGTGACGTCACAATGTTAGTTTTTGCTCATTGTAGCATACAGGGATATAATAATTAGTACAGTGTTTTGAGTTTTTATCTAGTAAATTCTGTTGGCATTGTTAAATAATCAAAAGTTTTGTACCATTATGTACAAAGACTACAAAAACAACTCCTGAAAAAATGTTTTTAAATGTTCCACAAGACGAAAAACGTCGAAAGAAATGGTTTCAAGCAGTGCATCGAGATTATTCAAAAACAAAATCATTTTTTTTTTTGTTGTGAAGATCATTTCGTTGTAAGTATTCATAATAGTATTGTTATTAATTATTATTTATCTAAGTGTATAAATCGAATAAGTATAGTTCAATAATTAATTTTTTTACCTGGGCTCCAAATCATAACCTTTAGAATCGTAGCATTTAAAATTTTTTATTGATAATTCAAAGCGATTAAATAGTAAATCTATATGTATGTTTTTCTAATAATTGGACTTCAATTAATAGATATTTTCATAATTTTATAACATTCTAGGTTCTGTATCAGACTACATTTAAATTTTTAAAGTATATGTTATTTTGGTTTTTTATAATGTTATAATAACATTTTATTAATAATGATTTAATGAAATAATTATTAATTATATTTAATAGAGAATAAATACTTATTTTAATTTAGAATAGTATTTTTTAACAGACTTACCTTGATGCCTTATCACCTCGAACTTCAGCAGAATTAAACCGAACGTCATTTTTTAAAAAATTAGTTATCATACATAAATATATCAACATCAGGAATATTATCCGATTTTGCTTTTATAAATCCTTTATCACACATAGTCGAAATAAACTTTTCAAATCGTTTTTCACTAATAAATTTGAGATATTTTTATCAAGTTAAAGATAATAGAAATAAAAACACTGTACTATTATGAAATTGCTTTAACATTATGACGTCACAAGTATGCTGACCAATCATGGCGCGTTTACAGTCACGTGATATATTTTTGAATTTTATCAATTTTTAATTGTTTATAATTAATTTTAAAAAAATATTTCAAGTTTTTTGCATTAAAAATCCAATATAATTAATAATAAAGTTTTAAAATACATAAAAAAAAATCAATACTTTTTTTTTTCAAAAACCCAATTAGGATAAAATAGCTTTTGATCTGTGTTATGATGTAATTTTACATTTATTGTAGTAATAAATAGCATTTTGTTATTATTTTTATCCAGCTGACATAATTCTATTACAAATAACAGTGAATTTGGTTATTTGGTGAATTTAAACAATGTATGTTGTGATAATCCTTACTTTTGACAATCCTTTGTGAAGTTTAGCTGCAAATGCCTCTCTAACTTGTGGTACACTATCCTGTAAATGAAATGACATTTTATATGATTTTTAAACATAATAAATGTAAATATATACAACTTAAAAATTTCTGATACTTATAAAAATAATTATTCAGGATGGAAGAGAAATTAAATGCAAATGATTCTTAGCAATAATCTTGGCATTGACCACAGTTGAACAAATGCCTCTTTGCACATGTAGAAGGTTAGAGCATTAATCACCACACTTGCTCAAGCTGGATTGGTGATATCAAACTTATAATTTGATGATTCTGTTCACCCTCTGCCAGTGGTGTCTAAATACTCTTAACAAGTACACATGACTCAGTAAAATCACATTGTTAATATTAATTAGTACTTATAATATTCATTAACATGATTATATATGTTAGAATGGAGATACAAATATTTATATTCATAAAATTTATTTAAGATAGATACAAAGAATATGTATGTCATATGTACTCTAGTCAGTGGTGGCCTAGTGGTTAAAGGGTCCGCCTCTCGTTGCCGAGGGCGCGGGTTCAAACCTGGCAAGTACCAATGTGATTTTTCGAAGTCATATGTACTTTCTGAGAGTATTTAGACACCACTGACATACGGTGAAGGAAAACATCGTGAGGAAACCTGGACTTATAGTTTCACAATTATAAGTTTGAAATCACCAACCCGTCTTGAGCAAGCGTGGTGATTAATGCTCAAAACCTTCTCCATGTGAGAAGAGGCTATGCTCAGCAGTGGGCGTTAATAGGCTGATGACATGTACTTTCTGAGAGTATTTAGAATCCACTGACATACAGTGAAGGAGAACATCGTGAGGAAACCTGGACTTATAGTTTCACAATTATAAGTTTGAAATCACCAACCCGTCTTGAGCAAGTGTGGTGATTAATGCTCAAACCTTCTCCATGTGAGAAAGAGGCCTCTCAGCAGTGGGCTCTGATAGGCTGATGACGACGACAAAGAATATCAATTTGTATAGTATAACACTAACCACCATGAGATGTGACAAGTTATAGAACTGGTCCGCTGTAAACTGGTCTCCAACACCCTTCTGTTCACATATCTTTAACATGGCAGCACCCGCAGCTAGTCTAAGATGAGCCATCTCAGCTCCGGACAACTGTTTCTGCTGTTAATAAAACAGAGACAATTTAATGGTCATACATATCCATACTAATATTATAAATGCGAAAGTAGAGTTACTTCATCATCACAACAATCTCATATACAAGGAACAAATTGTGTTAATCCTGCATTTTTGCAATACAAGAAAGGAATGCTTAATTGTGTTGGCACTATATCCCTCCTAATATTATAAATGCGAAAGTAACTCTGTCTGTCTGTCTGTTACTCTTTCACGCCTAAGCCACTGAACTGATTTTAATGAAACAGGTACAGACATAGAGTTGACTTTGAGAAAGAACATAGAATAGTTTTTATCCTAGATTATTTAAAGGTTCACTTGGAAACGCGATATAACCGAACTCCACGCGGGCGAAGCTGCGGACGGAAAGCTAGTAAAATTTGTTATAACTTTTTGGTACAACATTTTCATGTACGCAACAACATTTTCATTTATAAAAGGCTTTAAATCTTATGGTACCTTATAGTTAATGAACATAGACTAGTTTCTTATATATGTTACTATTAAGACTAAACGGACTAGTTAACAAACAATCATATATTTTTCCTAGCTGCATGTCAGTACCTGTAGCAGATCTCCCTTATGTACTATGAACGCGTTCAGCATCCTGAAGGTCTTCTGCGCGGACAGCTCGTCCCTCTTCAGACCCAGTAGCCAGCGAGCCATACACTTCAGACCCTCCAGCTTGCAGCGAGTCTCCTCAGGCAGATCTTCCTCCGGACACCAGTCGCCTTCCGGAGCGTTGGCTCCGCCGCCGCCTTCACGCACTAACAGCTCTTTTACTATCTGTTATAATAAAGAAATATACATATGTATATAGAAATGGATATTTACATGAGTATATGATTTATTTTGAACCAAAAATCAGGTTTTTCTTATAATATCAATTAAATTCACCTCAAATTAAGTTAATCTGATTCGAATTATTCAGAACTAACAGGCATAGAAGCATTTTTTTTTTATGTATACACCTTTTATTTTAGGTCAGGTAAATATAATAATTTATGAATTCATTATAATATGTATTCCTTTTAAAACGATCAACATTATTTATCGCTAATAAGGTTATTTTATATCTCAATTTCAATACTGATATACCACAAGTGAGTGTCTCACCTTCCTAGATACAATATTTTTTATTTGCACAGGGAAGTTATCTGGTAAGTTGTGTGCTATGTGTCCGAGTGTTACGATGGCCGTGCGGTAATGTTCCGAGTGGGGACTTAATGTAGTTTTCAATGTTTCTAGTATATCCGTGAAAATTTGGGATCTTTGATCAGGGACGTTGACGAAAAGGCATCTGGAATAAAAAATTAATTATATATATAGTAAATAATGTACAAGTAAGTATATCAAGTCCTTTGTAATTCACTTTAAATATTGATATGTAGGGTGCATACCTGACTGCATTTTTGGCTTGTTTCGGCGTACCGACCTCCGCATAAGCTTTGCATAGCGTTATAAGTTTCGGGAACAACGCTGGACATGCCTCGCCTGTAGAACAAGCAAACAACACTTATGTTTAACACAGTATGAAAACAAAAAAGTATTATCAAAATAATATTAAAAAAACATTCAATTTTTATGGTTTCAAATATTTGACGAATCAGTACTATAATAATACAATAATAGTATAACATTAATTCTTATAGTATATATGTATGTGTATATTTATTTATTTCATTTATACATTTGTAAAAACTTTACAATAAAAACGTTGACGTCCACACTAGGCTAGCCAGTATCGTGGACATCGATTCATTTCAACGATTCAGTAAAAGAGAGAGTTTGGGAACATATATAGAAAAAAGTTTATGAGTGTGTGTGGTTTTATAAGTGTGCGTGTATGTATGCATGTTCATGTGTGAATGCGTACGTGTGTCTTTATGTACGTGTCTGTGCATGTGTGTGTATGTGTGTGTGTGTATACAACTCACTCAGCGGTCTATATTTCCCGAGGAAGGTGAGCGCGGCTAGCACGTGAGGCGCTACATTCTCCTCATCTAGCTCCAACAGCCCCGTGAGTCGATGCAGCACGTCCTCGTGCAGGAAGTGAGCGGGGAACACGAACGACAACATAACGAGCAGCTTTAGGCCGCGCTCTGCAGCCTTCTTTAGATCGATACCTGCAATATTTCATATATATACTGTATGAGTTAATAGGAAAACTTATACTAAGAAACAGTCTGGGCCTCTTTAACCACTAAGCCACAACAGAAGTCAGTGGTGGCCTAGTGGTTAAAAAGGCCCGCCTCTTATGCACGAGGGCGCGGGTTCGATCCTGGCCCAGGCAAGTACCAATGTGATTTTTCCGAGTCATATGTACTTTCTAAGAGTATTAAGACATCACTGATTCATGCCGATTCCCAAAAGAGGGTTGATGTCTGGCAGGCTGCCGGTCGTAAAAAAACAATTAGCCAAAACTATTCACAACATGAAAGGCAGACCCTGGCTATAGCTGGGAAATTGCCAAGTAGAAGATATATTAAGAAACAGTTATACTAAATGAGAAAATATTCATTAAATTTAAGTGACTATGACAACAGTTATGAAACTAAGCTCAGTTTCTTGTAACACAGCAATGTGCTTGAAATATTCATATAACCAATATACTATTACTATAAGACGTCATTTCTACTAAGTAAATAAAATATTGTATAGTAAATTTATATACCAGAATAATTAGGTATGTTAGTATAATATGACTAGATTTAGAATAAAACTACTAAACAAATATTTGTACAGTACAACTAACATTTAAATTAAACTAATATTTCCGGATTACTACGCGTCATTTTATTATTTTATACTACATACTCCCATAGATGAAAATGTACGTCAGTTTGTCTTGTTATTTATTACCTAAATCAACGATTTCTTAATTTTCATTATATACTAGTTTTTGCCCGCGACTTCGTCCGCGTTAATTTTGTCATTAGTAATATACATATGTATAGCTGACCGGGCGAACTCTATTTCGTCTTAAATAACCAGGTATTGGTATTTATTAAAATTTTAATGTTTCAATCGAACAGAATGATTGACATATTAGTTAGCTATCAAATCTGATGTCAAAAAAATATTTGTACTGGAAATAGAAAAGGGCTGTTTTTAGGGTTTTCCCGGAAATGAATCAATTTTTTTCAGCTTTTAAACCTTCCCTGAACCTCCACGAACATTTCAAGACTAAAATAAGATAAATCCGTTCAGCCGTTCTCGAGTTTTAGTGAGACTAAGGAACAGCAATTCACTTTTATATATATAGATATTATAATACTAACAGCATTCCTCTGCTATCGATGGGTCGTTCCCTCTCACAGCGCCCTCTACATATCCAACTAGTATGAGCAGTGACTCGTGGTCAACCATGACTGAACTAACTCGTTCCAACAACATTTTGACTGTATTGTAATATAGATTTGTCATGACTGGCTGACCCAATTTCTTTAAGACACTTGACTGAAATGATAATAATAAAATTATTATTGTTTGATATTAAATATATGTATATTTGATATACAGGGTGACTGGTGAATTACTATCAATATTTAAGGAGAATACTCAGTACATGATTCTCATTCGAATTATGTAAAAAAAATAGGCACTTAATTTTTGACAAAATTTCCGTATAAATAAATAAAGTGTTGACACGTTCCAAGTGTTCAAGTGTGGACGCGTGCGGGGGCGTGCTGATACAACACCACGTCACGACACGCGTATGTGTGAGTGTGAGTGTATACCTAATCTGTAGGGTGTTCACACGATGCGTAATTAATTACATAACTTTTGGTTAACTTTACTTAGAAGTTTATTAATATTTATGTTATATTAATTTTTATTTTGTCATATATGATCGTCAAATATCACGTCCTCAAATATCGATAGCAATTCACCAGTCACCCTGTATATTAGTAGTATGAACTCATTTAAAATTAATAAAAAATGTATATTGTATACATTATATTGAGTTTGTTTACAATATGTTTGTAATTGATAGTCATGTTTTTGAAGTATCTGGATTTTGTTATATTTTATTTTTTAACTACAAATTAACAGTTTTAACTACAAATATATTATATATTAACTCACAGTAGTGCGAACACAAACTTCGCAGCTGACATTAGGATTCAATATCGTCTCCATCCCTTGCAATAACTCCGGTGCTTTTTTCATATGATTCGAGAATTTATTCAAGAACTCCTGAGCTTTGACTGACTCTGGTAGGAATTTGGAGCTTATGTGTAACACTTTAGAGATCATTTCCTTCTGTACCGCCGGTGTGGGAGGTTTTCTGTGTAAGTCGACCCACTCAGCTACAGTACGTCTCACAGCTAGCTGATGTTTTTGCAGTTCTATGAATGCTTTAGTGGCGTTATCGTCTACATTCGACATTAGATAGTATAACTTCTTCATTCTAACCGTTGGCGGCAGTGTGTATGGTACTAGTGACGTGTTCAATAATCTTTCTACTAATAACCTGTCTTCTAAAGCCGTCATGTAGTAACCGTGTAATATTTTATCCTTTATCCACTGCACAGCCTTCTCCGTGGCGGGAGGGACAGATTCTTCTGTTAAAAACTTCTTATATATCATAGCTAAACCGGACATAGCTTCTTTGCGTATCTTGAACTTCTTATCTAAAGTCCTCTCGCGGACGAAATGCAATAAATCTTCGGAGGCTGCGACCGCTTTGAAATCTCTTTGTGCGGTCGCTATAATAGCCATGACGACTTCATAGCGGACTTGTTCCTGCGCGTCATGCTGTCTCATCTTCAATGTATCCGTGATATCTTTCCTCAAGTCCGGATGATGCACCAGGAAGTGCATACAGTATTGTACGCATTTTATCCTTATCTGATCCGATATATCGTTGAATCTACCTAAAAACGCTCGCCATAAAGCCGGATATTGCTTGGCTAGCTCCGACCCCGGCTCGGAAAACATTCTAGCGAGCAGAGCAACCGCTGATAAACGCTCGTGGAATTGTGCTGATTTTAATTTACATTCCAACTGTGGCAGCACGGACAGCAAAACAGACGGGCAGCACTGATTCAACTCGTATATTAATTCGTACACTTTGGAAAATATTAGAAGATTTTTCTCTTCTTTACCCAAAATCAGGACGTGGTTAAAGAACTGTAATTAAAGAAATGAGACATTTAAAATTATTAATAATAATAACAATAATATATGCATTCAAATGCATGTATTTCTATTATTTACTCGAGCAAAAATAACAATACTGATTTTACGTAACATCATAGAAATATACAACTAGTTTTTGCCCGCAATTATGCTCAAACAAAATTGTATGATATTTTAAAACAATATATACGCTAACCAACTATCAGAGACATCTATCGCATAGAATTGTAAGCAACTCCGGGATTATAGACTATGGTCTTACTCTAATTTCTAAGCTACATGACTGTAAAGTTTCTATACAATCAGTTAAGTAGTTTTTGCGTGCTCTTTCACGCAACATACATCCGTACAAAATTTTTCATTTATAATATTACTAGCTTTCCGCCCGCAGCTTCGCTCGCGTGGAGTTCGGTTATATCGCATTTCCAAGAGAACCTTTCAAAAGTCTGGGATAAAAACTATTCTATGTGCTTTCAACTCAACTCTATCTCTGTACCAAATTTCATTAAAATCAGTTCAGTGGTTTAGGCGTGAAAGCGTAACAGACAGACAGACAGAGTTACTTTCTCATTTATAATATTAGTAGGGATTAGGTACATACAGCTTGTATATAAGGTTCCAGCGTTTCGCTTGTCTTTATAATAAGTTCCTTGGCTAGTGTGTAAGCGTGTTTGTGTTCCCTTTTGTTTGGTTCCACCAGGTTCAATAGTATTACATTGAGGAGTTCATTGGACACTACGTCTGATTCAGTGATGAGAGGACAGAGAACGTCAAGCATGAAAGATTTCACTTTCGAAGAGTGTTCCGTACTGAAAATATTAAAAATTATTATTTAATTACAAACAAAAGAAACTTTTTCTTAGATATAATTTAATATAAAACATTTTAATATAATTTTAGTATAGAAAATTTATTGAAAACTTAACCTATCGACCTACTTGGTTGTTATTATATAAATAACAATTTTATTTCACATTGTGAGATCCGTTAATTATTAAAATCTACAATGTTCTATTAGATGATAGGTGATAAACATAATTGTACTTTTTTAATACTCATATATAAATATGCGTATATAAAAATAGTATTTAATTATTGCATATATGTATGTTATATATTATATGAAAGGTCACACTTACTTGACAATTTTAAACATAAGTGAGAATAAAGCGCAGAATATTTCCTGACAGTCTTCTAGTTCGAAGCACATGTTGAATGATTTAACGTAAGCCAAGTTCTCCAGTAGGTAGAAGTAACGTTTGAAGGCCGGGTCTTTGGGGTCACGAAGACCCTGTAGTTGATTTATTAGGAACAGGAATATGGTTTTCACCTGGAAAAATATTATTCTCATATTAGTATGCACGTTATTGAGTAGTTGGAAGAAAATTAAGTACGACGTACAAAAAAAATCGTTCATTGATTCGTTTGATAGAATGCAAACACGTCATACGTGTTTTTGAATTTATTAACCCAAATTAGTTTATTTCAAAAATATAGTATTTATTTGCACTTGAAGAATATCTTCGCGGGTAATGTGCAATAAAAATATATTTTAAGTAACAAGAAGCAAAATATCTGAATAATATGAATGACAAAATATATTTAGGACATTTTACGTACGTACGTATGTATTGCATATTTTTATGCATGTATGTGTGTATGTATGTATGTGTGCATGTATGTATGTATGTATATTACCTGTTCCTGGTCTTTGTATGGAGCCTCCGGCGCGTACACCCTGAGAACATCAGCTATACAGCAGGCTATCAGGAGTTGTACATCACGGGACGGATGACTGAGGAAGAACTCGTCCGCGAGGTGCAAGGCCAGGGGTATGTACTGTTGGTACATGCCCTCATCTTGACCGAGACCTTGAAGTGTGTGTGCTAGAGCCTGGACGAAGAAGATATACGATATATAATATCCTACTAATGTTATAATTGCGAAAGTTTGTGAGTGTGTGTGTATGTTTGTTACTTCTTCACGCTCAAACGGCTGAACCGATTTTGATAAAATTTTGAATACAGGAAGCTGACGTCCAGGAATAACATATAGGCTACTTTACATCCCCGAAATCCGTGGGTAACACCGCGGGGCGCAGCTAGTATTAATTAAAACTGTTACAGACACCTGGAGATTATGTTGGATTATGAAATTAATATTTTAGGATTACGATGCGTTATTTTATTATTTGTAACACGTAATCCCTGTTGTATGTCCTACTCGTTTCTCGGTACAAAACGGAGTATGTAGTTTGAAAAATAATTAAATAACGTTAAATGAATAGTTTCATTTAAATGAAACTCGCGAAAATCTTGGATATCATTAAGACGATAGGCTGAAAATGTAACTTATGTAATATGTATATGTGGAATTATTAAATTGAAAAAAAAACATGAATTAACTTCACATTTTATATAACACTGAAAAATATCATTATATTTAATAGATCCTATAATTATTTGGAATTCTATACAATTTCATTTGATTGTAATTTGCAATAAAAAAAACTATAAATAATCACTCAGCTGCTAAAACGGTAATCATATAAAAAAAAGGAAAAACAATTTACATAGCAGAAATTCACGAAAATATTTATGTACATTATGTATTGTACAGATCTTGTACAATACGTATTATAATAATACATTTAAATTAGTTATTTCATTCGTAATTTTTTTTTATGTTTAACATTCAACGTACATATGTAATGGTTTAATTTATAAATAAAAACCCATTATAGTAAAAACATGAATATTTCTTTGTAGATTCAAATATCTTTACCCTTTAGTACTAACTCCATCTCGCAACATTTAATGTGTAATCAAATACCCTAGCACTAACTAATACGAAATCGTTTGAACGTGCGTCTCTTATTTAAAATTGTCAGTAGTATGTTTACGATTAACTCTTATTGTAAGTAGATAAAATAATTATTTTTTTTAATTAATTCCTGACTTCCTATCTTTTAAAAATAGCTAAGAAATTCGCTTCATAAATGACTGTAGGATATCAAACTAGAGGAAACTCAGCATCTAAGGAAACACGCGTCTTAAGACGTAACATCAAAATTTAACATCTAAGCGCACGGTAGTGCGCCGGCCAAGTTCCACAGGCCGGCGCATGCCGTGCACTATATTTACACGAACCGTTTCGACCCACTTTTGACCCCCCTGTAGCTCAGTGCCTATTGCAAGTACAGAGATAAAATTTTACCTACGTAATCATATACTAGTATTAAAGCAGTATGCCAAATTTCATAGATAAAACTTCAGTAGATCCTGAAATATGACCCTGTGAAAATAGCTAATTTTGGCACTGACTCACTGACAGGTAATCAAAACCTCTAGGCCACTTCCCATTGTTTTAGCATTATGAAATTTGGTACACAGGTTGTGTGTTATATGTAGATTAACAAAAAATTAAGAAATTTAAGAAATCGGTCAAGCGTGAGTTGCCTCAATTCTAAATATCGAATTTTTAATAAATTCGACCCCCTTTTGACCCCCTGTAGCTCAGTGTCTGTTGCAAGTACAGAGATAAAATTGTACCTACGTAATCATATACCAGTCCTAAAGCAGTATGCCAAATTTCATAGATAAAGCTTCAGTAGATCCTGAAATATGACCCTGTGAAAATAGCTAATTTTGGCACTGACTCACTGACAGGTAATCAAAACCTCTAGGCCACTTCCCATTGTTTTAGCATTATGAAATTTGGTACACAGGTTGTGTGTTATATGTAGATTAACAAAAAATTAAGAAATTTAAGAAATCGGTCAAGCGTGAGTTGCCTCAATTCTAAATATCGAATTTTTAATAAATTCGACCCCCTTTTGACCCCCCTGTAGCTCAGTGCCTATTGCAAGTACAGAGATAAAATTTTACCTACGTAATCATATACTAGTATTAAAGCAGTATGCCAAATTTCATAGATAAAACTTCAGTAGATCCTGAAATATGACCCTGTGAAAATAGCTAATTTTGGCACTGACTCACTGACAGGTAATCAAAACCTCTAGGCCACTTCCCATTGTTTTAGCATTATGAAATTTGGTACACAGGTTGTGTGTTATATGTAGATTAACAAAAAATTAAGAAATTTAAGAAATCGGTCAAGCGTGAGTTGCCTCAATTCTAAATATCGAATTTTTAATAAATTCGACCCCCTTTTGACCCCCTGTAGCTCAGTGTCTGTTGCAAGTACAGAGATAAAATTGTACCTACGTAATCATATACCAGTCCTAAAGCAGTATGCCAAATTTCATAGATAAAGCTTCAGTAGATCCTGAAATATGACCCTGTGAAAATAGCTAATTTTGGCACTGACTCACTGACAGGTAATCAAAACCTCTAGGCCACTTCCCATTGTTTTAGCATTATGAAATTTGGTACACAGGTTGTGTGTTATATGTAGATTAACAAAAAATTAAGAAATTTAAGAAATCGGTCAAGCGTGAGTTGCCTCAATTCTAAATATCGAATTTTTAATAAATTCGACCCCCTTTTGACCCCCTGTAGCTCAGTGTCTGTTGCAAGTACAGAGATAAAATTGTACCTACGTAATCATATACCAGTCCTAAAGCAGTATGCCAAATTTCATAGATAAAGCTTCAGTAGATCCTGAAATATGACCCTGTGAAAATAGCTAATTTTGGCACTGACTCACTGACAGGTAATCAAAACCTCTAGGCCACTTCCCATTGTTTTAGCATTATGAAATTTGGTACACAGGTTGTGTGTTATATGTAGATTAACAAAAAATTAAGAAATTTAAGAAATCGGTCAAGCGTGAGTTGCCTCAATTCTAAATATCGAATTTTTAATAAATTCGACCCCCTTTTGACCCCCTGTAGCTCAGTGTCTGTTGCAAGTACAGAGATAAAATTGTACCTACGTAATCATATACCAGTCCTAAAGCAGTATGCCAAATTTCATAGATAAAGCTTCAGTAGATCCTGAAATATGACCCTGTGAAAATAGCTAATTTTGGCACTGACTCACTGACAGGTAATCAAAACCTCTAGGCCACTTCCCATTGTTTTAGCATTATGAAATTTGGTACACAGGTTGTGTGTTATATGTAGATTAACAAAAAATTAAGAAATTTAAGAAATCGGTCAAGCGTGAGTTGCCTCAATTCTAAATATCGAATTTTTAATAAATTCGACCCCCTTTTGACCCCCTGTAGCTCAGTGTCTGTTGCAAGTACAGAGATAAAATTGTACCTACGTAATCATATACCAGTCCTAAAGCAGTATGCCAAATTTCATAGATAAAGCTTCAGTAGATCCTGAAATATGACCCTGTGAAAATAGCTAATTTTGGCACTGACTCACTGACAGGTAATCAAAACCTCTAGGCCACTTCCCATTGTTTTAGCATTATGAAATTTGGTACACAGGTTGTGTGTTATATGTAGATTAACAAAAAATTAAGAAATTTAAGAAATCGGTCAAGCGTGAGTTGCCTCAATTCTAAATATCGAATTTTTAATAAATTCGACCCCCTTTTGACCCCCTGTAGCTCAGTGTCTGTTGCAAGTACAGAGATAAAATTGTACCTACGTAATCATATACTAGTCCTAAAGCAGTATGCCAAATTTCATAGATAAAGCTTCAGTAGATCCTGAAATATGACCCTGTGAAAATAGCTAATTTTGGCACTGACTCACTGACAGGTAATCAAAACCTTTATATAGGCCCTCAGCTCAGCACAATAAAATACATAATAATGAAATATTAATAATTAATAATATGAGTACATCTATCAATCGGTGATAAATGAAACTAAAAATAAAAAATAAATATAGTTATTAGTTATTAATTAAATTAACCTGCCAAGTTCAAATTGAGAAGTATTATAATTTTAGATATTTTTAACCAAGCACCTACGTATTTTCACAACTATACCATATTTTAAGTTGGGTGTATGGTAAAGTGAATTTCGGCCAGATGGACCGTTGACGTGAATAAGGTGGCGGGTAGTGGCTGGATGTGGAAGGCAGAGGACTGGGTGTGGTGGCGAGTCTTGGGAATGGCAAATGTTTACCAGTGGATCATGCTGTTGATGAAGATGATTATGATCGATTTCAAAGTGCATCTAAACTTGGCATTAGATTGGATTTCACCCCTTTTTTAGGCAAACAATTAGCCGATTGGAACTTGGCCCCCTTTTTAACAGGCATGTTTTTGGTGAGATATTGTTTACTGACAATGTTTAAAAGTAAGATCTTATAAATCCTTAGTTATCACACTGGCATTGGTTCGGAACTTTGCCCACCATACCGATGTATTGAGGGCTGACCGATTACGTATGTGAATTTCTGACATATTTTGCCTTTCCATATTAGGTCTGAATATTATTAAGATATTCACCTACAGAGAATTTTGGAACAGTATATTTGATTGTAATGAAAATATAAAACAATATTTACTAGACCAAATGTTAATATTTGGTTAAGCCAAATTTACCAACACATTTTACAATGTACAATATTCATAATAAATCATTATAAAAAAAATATATCACGTGATTAGAGACGCACGCGATTGGTGACAACTGACAAGCCAGTGACGTAGCGTTTTGGCGGTTTTATTTGACGTTTAAACTTTGCTTGTAAGTTCAAAAAAATAACAAAGAATAAATTGTTTATGTATAATGAAGAGAAATTGATCGTGTTTTAAAAACTATATAACATACGTAATATAAAATAAACTTATTATTAAAACTCTACTTGAATCAATTCATATTAGGTTATCCTGCTAATATTATAATTGCGAAAGTTTGTGAGTGTTTGTGTATGTTTGTTACTTCTTCACGCTCAAACGGCTGAACCGATTTTGATAAAATTTTGTATACAGGAAGCTGACCTCCAGGAATAACACATAGGCTACTTTACATCCCGGAAAATGTTCGAATTTTCCTCATATAAGCGAAAAACCATATTTACTTACTCGAGAACTCAACTCCTAGCCAAAACGACATTATCGCTATGTACCTTTTACTGATCTATGTAGGCACGATCGACAGCCAATAAGCATTCCTTTCGTTATAAAAAAAAAGAGTTATGATAGACAATATCTATAGACAACAGTTTCTTTCTGTAGTTAATTAATTGTTAAATGCTGCCAAACTATTCATGTTAACGTAATTCTTAATTTTTATAACATTTCTGTTGTTTTGTAGTTGTTGGGTATTGCAGCGGACGGAGTCGCGGGGCGCAGCTAGTATACTATATAGAGGTTACTTATATTTTGGTTAATCTTTCATCTCACCTTAAGTCTTCTCACAAGCTCGTCTGGTCCTAGGTCATCGGTAATAGGACGGCAGCCTTGCGGGTACACTATTTCCGCCATGCTGCCAATCTATACATAAATTTTCAAAATCATTAACTGAAATACATAGAAGTCTATTACAATTTTTTATATATAATGCAACAAAGTATATAAACATTAAAATATAATACTTAGACATAAGTAACTATTTTATTATTATTTTCTGTCCTTATCGAAATCAATGTAATACATTTTCTTTGTGTATAAAAAAGTACAATATACTTTCTTAAATTGACGACGGCCATAAATTAAATTTAAATATTAATTCTACAATGACTTCTCATTAACAAATATACTAATATGAAACATTACATCATATCATTGAGTGAATGATATGAGGGTGTATCAGAACCATTTCAAATTTAACATATATGTACACACATTATAAAATAAAGCTGTAACAATATAAAATTTGTCAAGTATTTTGAGATCAAAAAAATTTAGGGCATATAATATATACATATTGCCTATATAACAGCACACACACACATATATATATGTTATATATAGCATAATATCCATGTATTAGACTATGTAGTAAGCATTTATTTCAAGCATTAGTCACCTAAAAATATCAGTCATTAAATGAATATATATCTGACCTATTTGTTCATATAAATCTAAAGATAAAGCATGATGCATGAAATGCGTGGGATGATTTTTTTTAACAGTATGTGTCAATTGGAAATAATAAAAGTATTATAAAATTAATACATATTGGTTTTATATTAACTTGAGTCCACTAAGATTGTTATTTTTTGTGTTAAATTACAACTTACTAGTTAATATATATTTTTCGTTATTATTATTTATAATGGAAACCAATATTAGAAAAAATACAATTTTCACTGATTAATTTGCATACAATAGGTACACTCTTTATAACATATCTCATGAGGCAAAATATATTTATTCATAACAAAGACTTCCTTAAATTATAAACATATTTATTTTGTTAATTATATATACTAATTTTGGTATAAAAAAATATTTTTCTTTAAACATTTTATATGTATATATGTGATGTTGTGGAATCATACATATATTTTTTTCCATACAAATTTTACAGCGGTTAACTACATATTGAATCTTATTGGTAGGAAATTATAATAGTTACTGAATAAAGTATACAAAAGCATTAAATTTTTTGATAATTTGACATCTGATTCTTGTGGAACTGTTGATGTTGTTTGAAATTCAGTTAAACACTTAGTTTAATTCTTTGTCATCATTTATTTCCTCTTGATTTTGGACATTTAATATCTTCATCAAAGTAGAGAGTGGTTGTTTCAAAATTTAGAATGGATTTATAATATTTTCAAATATTAGCAACAGGAGATAGACCAATGTCTATTTACCATTATGATTATTATTTTCATATCTTTCTATTGTATGTTAGCACAAGGCGTCTCTTTTTCTAACTACCTTGATTAATCTTATAATATACAAAAGGATACCAAAAACATTTCCTAAAAAAAAATTTAAGAGTACAGCTATATGTATGTGTTCCCATCCAATTAAATAAAATCTATAAGCTTAGAAATATATATTTGATAGTATTTAAATATGGATGCATAACCTTGTTATACCATTAGGTTTTTGAATCTAAACAAAACATTTATATCTGATTTATTTCTAATAGGGAATTTTCTTTATAACGACTTTATGAATGATTTACACTGTATCTGAAAGGTACCAGTATTTTGTGGTTTAAATAGATTTTTTTAAAGTTTGTGATTAACAGTTACCAATAATTTATCGACTACACCACAAACTCATTATGAAATCACAATTACTTGTCTTAGGATTGTATAAATTATTTGAAACTAATACACTACTACTATTTAACAATGTTATATGAAGTTATAAATCATTAAGAATCAATTTGGTGTTGCTAAAATTGACAGTAATTGAAGATGAGTATGCTAGTTAGTTTATCGAATTTCAATTTTACTATCTAACATGTGTTCATTTTGATTGACGTTCTAAGAAATTTCGACTCATGTTTTTGCACGACGAATTTTGCGTATGCGCATCGTGGTTTGTAGACTTATAAAATTGTTACGCATTACCTATAGCAATTGGCAGTTGCTTATAGACATTGAAACTGTAAACATTGTGAACGAGACCTTTTTTAGTTAAGCAAAAAAGTTAAAAATGGCGGGAAAAATCATAAAGAATATTGTATGACGTTTTGGATTTAGCATCTTTACCGTTCTTAGAAGATGAAACACAAAGATAAAATTCTTCAAGCAGAAGAGGGGACACACAGTGGAAGAAACCTCAAAAACAATCAGGATCAAGTGGTGCTAATGTGTTTTTATAGACAACAACCTAATAATATACCTGTCTCTGCCTTTATAGAGTTAATTTACTGAACAATAAGACTAACCACTGGATGGCTCTGCAACATCAAACAAAGTCTCCATATTTACCATGCAAAAAATTATGGAGAAATACCAAGTATTGATAACAATGTGACATAAAGCTGGACTTATAGGATATATCCAGATTTTAAACAAAAGTATGCTTAAAGTGACATGTTTAACATAGTGGTAGCCGTAAATTTAATTTGACCTCTAATAACACATTAGGTTTTAAGTAGAAAAGTGTATTTGAGGAAAGCTCTCCACCGAGCATCACATAGTGATTATAACTGCTTATATGATTATAACTGGCAGAGAGAGAAGTTAGAAAAGTAATTGCCGGTGGATTGTAAATATAATCAGCATTAATGGAAAAGTGACATTTTTGAAGACAAATTACAAAGACAGAACTAAAATCATGGAAAATCTTAAATGTTATTGGCAAAAGTCCTGTTATTGGCAAAATTACAAAGACAGAACTAAAATCATGGAAAATCTTAAATGTTATTGGCAAAAGTCCTGCTTTATTGTCTCTATTATTCAAAATATAGTATTAGTTATGTTGAACCATCCTACATATTAAACAACCTATGGACTAGTGTGATAAAGCCACAAAAGTATGATAAAGCCACAAAATACATATAAAAAAATACTTGATGCTCGGATCCAAGCAAAACACTAATAACATCTTAGAGGCAATAACTTTCTTATCCAAATCCTGGTAACAAGTCACGGAAACTATCCAATACTATTTATGAATGTTTGAAAATTAACATAACCCATGAACCGAGTCACTCAATATGTTTAACGTGACAAATATTGTTACTGAAAATATACAACCATCCATTGATATTGATGAGCATCAAGCTACAATAGCTTTATCAATAGATAAACAATTTCTTGGTTCTAAAACTGATGAAACAAAACTCTCGTCATCGGTCTGTAAGAACCCACTGCTGAGAAGCCTCTTCTCACATGGAGAAGGTTTGAGCATTAATCACCACACTTGCTCAACACGGGTTGGTGATTTCAAACTTATAATTGTGAAACTATAAGTCAAGGTTTCCTCACGATGTTTTCCTTCACCGTATGTCATTGGTGTCTTAATACTCTCAGAAAGTGCATATGACTTGGAAAAATCACATTGGTACTTGGCAAGATCAAAAACGTGCCCTCGTGCACGAGAGACGGACCATTAACCACTAGTCCACAATTGACTCATAAGCCATCACTGGCTTACAACCCTAGTCTCTACCAAACATCAAACAAATTCTTGAAGCAAAACTACAACAAAAATACTGTTTATATAATAATATTGATGTAAATCTGATCTAGTTGTAAAATAAATACATAAGAAAATCCAATTACAGTAGTAGGTAGAAAATTATCAGATGAATATAGTCAGCTATATACAATAAGGGTTAGAACATATGTATAGGTGTATATAGAGTCACTTACACACTTAATTTACTACCAAATCGATACCTCCCACGTAAATTGTTGTATCTTCAAAACTGTAAATTTACAGTAGAGCGTTTCAAATTAAACCAATATCTGCAAAATTTGAAAATTACAACATTAGATATGCATCTGACAAATCCTTTGAAAATAGTGTATTTGTTGTCTTTTTACTTTGAATGAATATAATCATCCATAATAGGATATTTTTTAGAAAAAAAGCAAAATAGCATTTTTGTGACATACAACAACCTATGTGGGAGGTATCGAAATATAAATATTTATATATATATATATATATATATATATACAGGGTGACTGGTGAATTACTATCAATATTTAAGGAGCATACTCGGGACATGATTCTCAATCGAATTATGTAAAAAAAATAGGTACTTAATTTTTGACCACATTTCCGTATAAATAAATAAAGTATGTACACGTTCCAAGTGTGGACGCGTGCGGCGGCGTGCTGATACAACAACACGCCGCCGCGCGCGTATGTGTGAGTGTGTGTGTATACCTAATCTGTAGGGTGTTCATACGATGCGTAATTAATTACATAACTTTTGGTTAACTTTACTTAGAAGTTTATTAATATTTACGTTATATTAATTTTTATTTTGTCATATATGATCGTCAAATATCCCGTCCTCAAATATCGATAGTAATTCACCAGTCACCCTGTATATTATAGAACAGTAGAATAATACCTTATTAACAAAAATCTTTTCCCTACTTTTCATTTTTAATGTAAAAAGTTATTTTTAATCATATTATATAATATGTCAATGGTTATAACAACTTTTACAAACAGAAAATCTGAGGAAAAACACACATTTAAACAATATCACATTCAAAAAAATTATTCATACTTATTGAAGAAATGGATTCTGAATATTTTCAGTAATTACACTATAGAAACTTTTCAATGCTTTTTTTTCTTATTCTATTGATAAAAGTTTAAAATTTGTTTTCCTATATTTTGAAATTATAAATTATACATTTAAAGAAAATGTATGTGTTGAAAAAGAACAATTTAAAATAAAAATCACAAATGAAAACTCTTAAACCAAGTTTAATATTATATTAATTTTATAACGATTTTAACAAGATAAAAAAATATACATATATTTTTAATTATTATATCACACAGTAAAAAAAAGGTTAGAATTTGTTGTATATTTATTTATTATATGTAATTCAAAATATTTTCATTGCAATTCTAGAATATGCTGTGATTTTGAAAGCAAACACCTTTTTACTGTTACATTATTCTGTTCTTAATTTATCTATTTAAATTTGTAAACATCTATCCACATATTAAACTGTATATTTTATATAGTTAGATTAAATGAGAAAAAAAACTAAGGCAACTGTAGAACAATATTTATATAAAATGGACATTCATTAGTGAAGATTTCATGAATTGAAATTATAGTTATATTAAATGAAGAAAAGAGTGAGATTTTGTCATGAACATTTTACTGGAGCAAAGCTTTTGGGAGCAAAATCCATGCAAAGTTTATAAAATATTAGTTTATACCACTTTTTAATACTTTTGACATATAAAAGCAATGTTTTGTGCATCCAAACTTATACACCAGATATTGTCAACATTTAACATCCAAAACCTAATGACAAACGTGATGCCAACAAACACAACATAATATCATCAAAATGCGAGATAAATTATATTAAATACACCAATTCTTTCATATAATTCAGTAATAACCAATTTCGAAGCGTACTACTCGATTGTTTTGAATAACATATTTGCGTTCGTGGTTACTTTCATAGCCCATAATCGCTGTTACTTCGATGCTAATATGTATGCCAATGCTTTACGCATAAACAACATATTTTTTCTAGGTTAAATAATTTTAATTTATATAAATATGATACGTGTCTACTTACTTTTTAATATAGATAATAGTAATTTTATATAGTATAGTGTAAATGGCTTAAATACGTACAAGAAGGCATAGACGTGGGCCCTGATACTCCGATGTTTACAAAAATCACCACAGAAGTTAAGCCCAAATCAGGGAATCACGGAAAAAACATGTTAACTTTACAATAACATCATTAGAAAACTAAACATACAAATATAATAAAGTCTGTTTAATCTAAATACACAGTAAAGTCGTATTGAAATTTTTTTAACAATCGGTGGACGCCAAACTGCGGGAAAAACTACAGCGAAGTTAGCAACAATTGAACTTGCATTTCAGAAATCAGAGTGCTCTTTAGTCTGTGGTGTTCGTTTAGTATTTATTTATTTTTCTACAATTAATAGAATAATGTTACAAATAATTAATTTTACTATAATAGAAACCATTCCTAGGGTGAAAAGAAACATTTTAAAGATTTATTTTATATTTTTATAATTTAATGGTATTTTCTAAAGTTCAACAGTTATTTTACAGTTTAACAGTACATTATTTTGGACAGATTATATAAATTGCAAAATCTGCTGCACTTATTGGAGGAAGTGAGATCAAATTACATAGAGATATTTAATTAAAAGTAGAAATTGGAATCTGACCAATATTATCGAAAAATTTTGTTTTTTTTTGTTACTTATTAAAAGTTATGATTTGGAATATTATAAGATTTGACTAAGGTCAGTTACCAACTTTATTTAAATATAACCATTTCTTCAGTATTTTTTTTTAGAAAATTTAAATTTGACAAAATGAATATTTAGAGTGTTTCAATCTTAAAATAATTTTCAAATGCAATTGGGGTAGCAAGGATGAATAAAATTAAACAGTATACATTTTTCCCACTTTTATTTCAAATTTTTAGAAGGAAAGCAATCTTATATACTAAAACATATTCCAAACTAGACTTATAGCAACTAATAAAATTACAACTGCTTAAAAGATTAGTAGAAGGCAGAAAACTTTAGTAACATTACAAGCAGCTGTCAGTTTGTCATGTCATATAACTTATATTAAAACCTTTTATTTCCATGATTCATTTACAGCATTTTTTTACTATGGTTTTCATAGCTGTCATTTTACATATAAAATAATGCTTATCAAAATAAGGAACACGTTATAACGTTTCCTTTTCCTTTACAAACGGTAACGCGACTCCACCGACGGCTGCCACTACTTCTCTATTTTCAATAAAAGTAAATCAAGATTTTATTTAGGATATTTCTGAACGAATGTTGTCTTTTTTAAATAATCTGTACAAAACGTTCGAAACATGAAATGAATAACACCCTTTAGAATTTATACATTCATATGGATAAAGTCCTTATAAAAAGCACCATGTAGTTTTAAATTAAGAATCTATTTTTCAACAATTTTTCCTTAGTATATAATTATAACAATCTCATGTCACGGCAGTAGTGGTTACTTAACCCTTAGTAAATATTAATCGTACTTAATCTAGCTCTAGCTTCCTAAATGAACCAGCAGTTGAGTGTAAGTCTTGAGTTAAATCATTTTTCTCGAGCGCATACAGATCAATGCACATATCGTCCAAGGCTAGTAACTCTTCTCTGTGTTTCAAAAGTTTTCGTTTCAATTCATCTATCATGTCTTTTAATGGAACTGTTCCCCCATACTCTTTCGGTAGTATAGAGGGGTCAACGAATTTGGACAATTCTTCAGCTGAGCGATGGAACTGTGAAAAAATTAAATACATACAAATTATCAGTTATAATAGGAAATAATATTAGAATTTTCTTTATAACTAAAATTACCATAACACGATCTTTGAGTTTATCGCTGAGCAATGAGACGGCGAATTCAAAGATTTTAACACCGTAATGTGGAATGTTTACGAAATGAGTGCGTTTGTGTCGCATTGGGGTTGAGTTCTGAAAAAAAACATGTTTTATTTTAAATAGAAAAAAATGTTTTTACTTATCTTAAAAGCTTTAATAATAATGGCAATCACAATAAAAATGTTGTTATTGTGTTAAAATAAAAATTTATTATTCTTAATTTATTTGAATAGAAGTCTTAACTGCCAGTATTATATAGATAAAATTTTGATTGTCTATGGTCACCTGTATACAGTTAAGCATGATCCGGACATCGTTCAAGGACCATAGACTAACGTGCGGCATCTGCATGCCGGCTTCGTCGTTGACGTGTGTGTAACCCAGTAGCTGTGACCGCGGCTCGTCCAATAACAACTCTACGATCATAGAGTGTACGCGCGCCATTACGCAGTTGTCAAACTTGTAGGGATCGAAACGACCTGTCAGAATAATATGACTGTTATAGCTTTAAATAGTAATTCATATATAATTATTTTTAAGTATATTTGTAATGTTTTGTAATCTTTGGTTAAATAATGAGTATGTTATCGTTAATTTAGTTCTTTCATACACTTTTAGTTTAAAATAGTGAGAAAACTTCAATCAGATCTAATAAGTATATTTATAAAATTAATAATCTTTGGCTAAATAAATATGAAATTTAGTTTTTTCATACATAATGACTATTTAGTGAGTGAACATTACATTATATTTTATTTAATAAATTAATAATTAAAATGTTTTATATTACCCATGCAAGACAATACAACTCTACGTCCTTCGGCATCTCTTTTGGGTAATGGTAGCAGGTACCCGGCTTCTATGACCGCGTTTATTTTTGGGTCTAAAGGATCCAATTTTTGAAACCACTGCGGGTACATCTGTCTTATAGTGAGATATCGTTCCAGCATTGAGCAGGCTTGTGGTATAGAATACTTCTTGGTGCGCAGGAAACGTAGTAGAAATGGCGCGTCTGTGAACAATTGTTGATTGTTACTTTTCTGATATATGGTCGAGTGAAGAGTTTTCTAGCATGTCACCTTTGCGAAACAGTTATAGTAAATTTTGAGTAATTTATGTATTTTTTTATTTTAGATTAAAACTTTGAGATTCATTCCTGCTTCATTTTACTTAAACCCTTTATATAATGTTTTTAACAAATATTTCAATCCTATCTTAAAATCAAATTAATTATTTTAAATCAAGAATAATCGATCTTAACCTATATAAATATAAAAATTTATTAGGACGTGAAATAAGTTTTTTTTTTTGGTTCTACTTTAGCACTAAGTTTTACAACCATAAAGTTTGTTAACCATTAGGTTTTTTTTTTTTGCAACGGCTGAATGCATTCAACCATTTACTACAACACAAAGCCCATTTTGTTGAAATTCTGTTTATGTACATATAATGCTTAAGAGTCACAGTATGTCGTAATTATTCTTTACCGGTTCTGCATTTCTTAATAGCGGGATGTTTCTCAATGAAGTGTCTCATTTGTGTGAGTGCGTGTTCTTTTAGAGCTGTTTCCTCTCGTATATCGATTCTGGCAGCTTCTCTAAGCTCGGGCGGAAGTTCTCCTGTGCTACGCTCCTTGGCTTCGAGTATCGCCAGCCTTTCGTCTTCAGTTATTCTGGGATCGATGTCCGGTTTTGGCGCGTGATCCCGTCGGCATTCTTCGCGCTGGAGTACTGATGTCGCCATTTTTTATTCTGTAACAAATTATTATTTTATATTATTTAGAAGTAAAAATAAATTCCGTATCTTAATTGTTATTAAACCAGTCAACGCCATCTAGTGACGTTACATTAAAATGAATCATATTAAAAAGTGATGAAGTGACGAAACTTAAACGTATTAATTTCGCAGATCATTAATTTCCTTAAATACTTAAAGTATATTATAATTATTATTGTCAATCAATAATATAAAAGAAAATTTCTCCTTTTTGTATGTATAATAAAGCATTAAATTTTTATTTGTAATAATACGAGTATGACGTCACTTCCACGCACGAACTAACAATCGATTCCCTGTATCTGTTTCATAATTTGATATCAGAGCAGTCTATTAACCAGATTGCAAGACGCCTATCATTACATAAGGTTTGTTTCTCAATTTCGTAGAGATCTTGACGCAATATGTAGCTTATGACCTGGAAAGTGCAAATAACCTGTGATCTTTATGCCATAGTGCTTTTGTAAGGGCTATAGGCCATAACTTCGTTGAAACGTCACTTTCAAGAAGATAATTACTTTATATAGATGCTGGCTGTCGGTGATTTGATATTTTTAGTTATCTTATCTAGTACGAGAACGAGTTTTTCTTGTTTGATTTAATATCGGTGTATTAATGGAAACGTGTTTTAAATTTATTTAAATAAATCATAAATTACAAAAAAAAATTAAAGCACGTGTATGGTAAAGGGAATATAACTCGCAAAATAATATAGGACCTATAAATAAAATTATTCGATTGTTCACATTTGCATGAACACATTCACTTTGATATACAATTTAATATCGTGCACAGCTATTGTATTACACCGTTCTCAGCCAACCATTTCGAGTCACGAATGGGAATCCACTGCCCTAAAAATGCTACATTTAACAAACAAAATGAAAGTGAGAGCAAATTACAAATTGCCATTGTCAAAGCTTATCACTTTTACTATGACGTGGGAGTGAAAGTTGCGGACGCGAATTCGAAGGTTAACCATTATAAGGATATGCATGATTTGTAATTTAACTTTTTTTGGAGTTGACTATAGTTTGCATTTAGTAAAAGAAATTCGAACTTTAGCTAAAAACTTTTACAAAATTTGGTAGGTATACATTGTTATACAGGGTGACTGGTGAATTACTATCGATACTTGAGGACGTGATATTTGACGATCATATATGACAAAATAAAAATTAATATAACATAAATATTAATAAACTTCTAAGTAAAGTTAACCAAAAGTTATGTAATTAATTACGCATCGTGTGAACACCCTACAGATTAGGTATACACACAAACGCGTGTGGCGGTGTGGTGTTGTATCAGCACGCCGCCGCACGCGTCCACACTTGGACAATTGGAACGTGTCCACACTTTATTTATTTATACGGAAATTTGGTCAAAAATTAAGTGCCTATTTTTTTACATAATTCGAATGAGAATCATGTACCGAGTATTCTCCTTAAATATTGATAGTAATTCACCAGTCACCCTGTATACTGATTCAATTATTTTAATGTTTTTACGGCTCCGGATGACTGCTTCAATTCTACCATTTCTTTCCTATATTCAAAAAAGGTACTTTTTTTTAAACAAAGCCTGAATAAGTTCCTGTTTAAATACTTTAAAGGCATATATCTGGCCTTGACCTTTTGTCAGAAAAATGTCGTTACCCGACCTCTAAAGGCGAGAATGTTTACTTGTATAAATATTTGATTTTTGCCCAAAACTTGTATAAATATTTGATTATATAAATTATTTCTTCTCATTTTACGATCAAACATAAGTCCAAACAGCGCAATAAAATTTAAACACCAGGGAATTCCCGCATAGTTTTTTCTTTACCTACCGTCAAAAAGATTGCTTTTCAAATAAAACCTTATTTGTTATTCAGTTGAATTCTTTATCATTATCAATAAACACATTCCGAGTCCGAGAGCGTATGACTTACGTGTTTAAAATCATTACCGACGTAAATTAAGCATATATCAACTTTATTTTCATTGGAATAAGACTTAATATTCAGTTGACATGTCGACAGGTCCAGGATTTTAGTTTCATCGTCTGTATCTTCATACATGTCGTGAATTTGGATACAAAAGTTAAGAGGGATAGTTCATTCACATCGAAGGAATGTCCTTAATTCTTATGTATGTATTAGATATATAATTATATTCACACAAATAACATATTTTATTCATGATGTTATAGCTTATTAATATTTTATTTAACTTTTATATGCGCTTTCACTTATTTAGCATGGAATAGCGCAAAAAAAGTTATTTTTTTTTATCTAAATAATTTTAGCCATTTTGCTTTAAAATCACTGAAGATCGAAAACAGCCAAAAAAAATTACAATCTGAGAAAATATCAGGAGATTTTTTTATTTAATTTAAAAATAAAAATTAGTTTATAAATTGTTTCATCAAATTGTAATACTGTTAGTATGTATGAACCTTTTAACAAAATTTTACATTTTTAATTCTTAATTGTTATGCATTAATATATTGTTATGCATAAAACTTATAAATTATATCTTATTTTCACAAACTATTAAATCGATTGATATCAAAATAAACACTTTAACATAAACAAATTTGATACCACTTAAACTTCGTCAAGGGCAAAATCTTTTCAACGTTTGAACACTAAGTGGATTTACGTTGCGTCGCTAAGTAAACTAGACACTAAGTAAATTAGCACGTTAATAACGTAATATCAACGTAAAACACTCACGGTCATATTTCGGCCACAATTTGGTATACGTCGTTCATTAAACCATGTCCAGGCAAGACTGAGGTCGTTGCCTCTCGCTCCCGAATTATACCGCCAGGTACATTATTTTATAGGATATTGCCCTTTGAGGTACTATGGAAATTGTCTGTAATGCTTTCAGACCGTTCCAATTATAGTGACAGCAAAAATTATTACACATGAAAGTGATTTAGACTAATAAACATTTGTCTAAATTTTATTTTCAATGAAGTCATGTTTTTTTTAAATATATGACATTTAAAGAACAATAAAGATTAAAGATCACAAATGACATAAGGTTTTGTATAATTTGAAACGTCAAAAATCACAGATAATAAATCAAAAAGATAAATTAAGACGGCATTATAATGACAAATGTACTCAAAAAAAAATTATTAATTAGTCACAAGAGTAAAAAGTCATAAAATTAACATCGCAGAATATAAAATCAGTTGCAGAATAACGCAATTAGGGCTGAAGTATAATTTACAATGGGATCCCGAGCGGCCATTAACGTTAAGTGAGTTCTGAAAAAGATTCAGATCATTAAAAAACTCGAATTGAATCACGGTCATTGGACGCTAACCGTTAACAAAATGTGCTCGTCCCATGCAGCCTTTTATGGGGTCCCATATATATGTGACCAGACACATAAATCATATGTGCAAACCATACTTCGAAATGTTATTGCTTTCAACTAATAATTACTTCTTAATCTTAAAAAATAATACTCTTCTACGATAAAAGAGATGAAGCTTAAATACAAAGGATTTAAATACTTATATTATCAAGCTTAAAGAATTTATTTATTTAAAAAAGATTTATAAGTATATAATACAAAAATTTGTTATTGGAGCGGAGAAATTACATACGTTTGTCAGTTAGAAACTTATTATTTTTTATTCTTACATCAATCCATGTATCCACATAGAATAATAATCCCAAAAATTTCGTTATAAAACGATACGGAACCCATTTATTTATAATCATCCTTCTCATCTTACATTAAATTTTCTCTTCCGCGTACGACACATTGCACTGTCACGAATTTAAAGTAACTTTATATCTGACGCATTTTTAATCTGTATATATTTTAACCACCCAGAACGAGACTTGACATTTAAATTGGGGATTCCTGGTTGAAAAGATATCGGAGGCAAAAAATATTATCCTTTGTTCATGTAGTACCAAAACATAATAATAACGACCCTCTATAACTCATGCAAACAAAATGAATGACAAACGATTCTATTTGAGTATAATGGACATTTGTCAACAGACTAAAAAACTAATAATTAAATAATAATTAGTTATACATATAATATCATTATAGTATTGACTCAACATTTTATGTTCGTTGAGTCAATTTCAAAGGCGCGAAAACAAAAGACACTAGAAGGTCGCTCACCTATACTATATGTATTTTGTTGAATGACATTGACAATAAACAAAACATTGCTATTATGAAAAAAGAACATCATTAATTAAGTCGCTATATAATATTTTCACGTGTTAACATTTTTATAGCCCATTATTGTCGTATTAGGATCAATTATTGTCACAAATACAATGTGGTCTCGTGTCGCAGGAAAAACATTTAGTATGAATTTAATACTTATAACTGTTCCTTATTTATTATTGTTATGTAAATTCGTTTTTAAATGTCTTGTTATCTATGACTAAAGTTCTTCAAATACCTTAGAACACGATTTTTTTCAATACATATTACATTATATGCAAAAATTATTTAAGATTTTATATTTTTGACAAAACATGGAATAAGTGATCTGTTTGTTGAATTACATATGACAGATTCCAGATACTAAATAATCATCTTCAATCCATGATAATTTTTTTTTTTAATATTGGCTGAATTCTTTTAACTGAAAAAGAAAAATATATACAAAGAAACAAGTATGTATTTCATATGCATTAAAAAAATATTAAACTTTAATTACTATTGTAAGTTACGAAGGTTTGTAAACCTTATAACGAACAAATATTTATGTGTTAAGAAAAGCCCTGAACACCATCGAGCAACAAGTCGTTTAGTTAAGTACAAAGCAGTCAGCCAGTCAAACGTTAATTACGGACTCCATTGAAATTAAAAATGACAGAAAACAATGACAAGACGTAATGGCTCATTACAGAGAATATGGACCTTCATTATTTAATCTGTTTTTTATATTTTGACAGCCACAAGATGTACCTATATAACCTGAACATT